TTGCGTACACACACATATTGTAGCTTGCACGCAAAAGGGGAAAAAGTACCTTTCATTTAGGATTGTAAATAAAGTGTCCTGGTTTACCAAAAGACTGGCTCTAAGAGTGGATAAAGGGACTAGGAAACAAGAACGTTTTTGCGTTAGCTAGGAAATTCGGTTGACGCTCTTAAGGTTGATATGAACTTGTACATACAAACGGCTAGTTACAGGCAATACTTGCTTATGACATCATTTGCAGAATTGTTTATACAAGGCAGTTGAAAAACCTGCACGGTTGTCTAGTAGGCCGCTTAAAAATACACGGAAGGAGATTGAATTCACTAGAAACTTGTTCTGTATCTTTAGAGTGGCTTCTTTTCAATGGCATGAACAATTGCGCGTTTGTTTGGGGTTTAATGCTGCGCTCTACAGTTGATTGGATAAAACGATGGTGATTGACGTCCCACCCTCGACCAATCATTATTAAGACTAAAACCATCCTTGTTTTGCCGCTATCACGGTTGTCTTTATTCTTCTGTTGTGGTTCTTCGGTTTTTTGTGCATCGTTTGCGAAAATAACAGATAGTAAGAACGTTCAAAGCTTTTTGACATTACCTTTCTATGGCATTGTTTGTTTTAAAATATTTCACAGGATGAAAACTTGTACAAATACCGTTGTCTAAATGTATAGTTGGATTGAAAGGTCAATAACAAGTTACACGTTGTTTAAGGGCTCTTGACAAGATAAATTACCCGTTTAAAAAGATAAAATACAAGTGCTGAATAAGATACCTCAAACTTTGATAGAGGATACCGGTTAGCGGAATACAACATTTGTTTACAAACTCGTTGGGAGGTCCTGAATTGTCCACTTACACGAAATGGGAAGTGTGTGAAATGAAGACAGAGCCAGGGGGGCGAGCGGGTGGAAAGTGCATGTTTTAATTAAAACGGTACAGTGAATGGTTTAAGGAAGGAACGAGAGGGTGTCAAAACATGTATGTATCTTAATGCAAAAATGTTAAGGGTCGGTTATTCAAACGAAGTCTAACTTAGGCCGGGGTTAAAGAAATCATTGGACCTCCAAATGTCTTTCGTAGTGGGTTAGTTTAAGAAAATAAGTGCTTCTCCAGTCTACGCTATATGCTTTATTGAAATTGTTCACGATAAATGGTGTTTAGATAAAAGCGTTTTTGGTCTGTTATTTTCTATAGCTAAGAGGAGGTCCTGGTACCTCACCCATATACCATCACTGATACTGTCTGGGTAAAACTTTTGAATGCAATACCAATCTTTTATAGCCAGTTTTCTCGGTATTTTTTTAGCTAGTATTTAAAAATCGAGCCTGCGACAAAGCAATCTTTTATGCTCTTCGTACATTGACCAAAAAATATGGACAAGAAGTGTTGCTACTCAATAACTCTATCCAATTGGTACCAGGAAGTCATTAGGAAATCGTGCAAAAAACTGGGGGGTCATGACCGACGCTTATCAATGCTTGCCCAGAGGGAGGGAGGGGGTAAGGGGCAGTAACACCTTAAGTATCCGTATATCGCGGCTTTCTACAGATTCTCGTGAAAAATTCTACTAATTCCAAAATACTAATTCCAAAACTGTTAAGAGATGAAGTGATGCTTAATTGCTTGATTTAATAGCTACGTTTTAAAGGGTAGACAAACAAGAATCACTTCAAAAAATACCACATACTCTGGCTTCATTTCCACTGGCGTAAACTAACGAGTCTGGCTGTTGAATTATTAATTAAAAGCTTCATTGCCAATATGAAGCAAATCCAACATGAACACATATTTTTAGGCCATGGAGCGTTCAGAGATCTTTCTAGAAAGAGTCACAGATCACAAACAGTACTGAAAAAGAAAAGTTATTTTCGACGGCATCAATACAGCTGGGTGTTTCAAGTACTAAACGGTACTTGAAATGAGTGGCCCTTAATTTCATGCGTGAGGATACCCAAGTTCAAATGCACAAAAATGAGGCCCAATACAAAGGAAACGACCCTGCAGACTTTGTGTGAAAAAAGCTATTACCAGTGATTAAGTTTGGATTTTGTTGAGATCTCAACTTGTCCTTAGCACGAAACGAACGTCATCTATTTAGACGCATATCGCACGGATTGTATTCAAATCTAGTTACACGGTCCCAGTTTTATTTCATACGAGCTCATGTGAAGAGTTTCTAGTTTTTGAGAGAATTTTGAATTATTTTATGTATAGTTTGATTCGAACCTAATTAGGTTTAAAACAGAAGGAGCAGTTGAGTGTTTAGGATTTGATGTAAAAAAACACGAACTATGAGAAAATGACCACCTTCAAAAACTGATTTATTAGAGTTTGGGTTATTTTAGCTGAGAGAAGACGTTAAGTTAAGCCGTGTGTATGATATCAGATATAAAGACACAATTAAACATTAATTTCCTTTGTAATTTCTTTATAAATTGTTATTTATGAGTTTTCTTTTTCTTAATCCAATAGTCAACCTCTTGAGTAGTTTTCATGACGCTTGCTTCTTAGGATTTTACAAGTTAACTTGACAAATCCTGAAATCATAAATTTCTCAAGTTCTAGGGACTAAAAATTACAGTTAAAGACTATCATGTACTAGACTACTGATCTGTATAATAGACAATTTCAATAAGGAAGTACTCCCCAAAAAGTGTTCTTTGAATTTGACTTTCGAGAATAGGTGTGTTCCATAAAGTTTCAACCTTAGAACTGCCTAAAAGCACAAGGTGATAAAAAACGGACCATTTTAGGTTTCTGGGAAACTGCACACCTACCCCTCCCCTAAGCCAACATTATCGCTTACTTCTCTCATAGGGCAAAAATAATGTTGGCTTAGGGGAGGGGTAGGTGGGCAGTTTCCCAGAAACCCACATACACTGATGCAGCTTTAATTCGGCTTCCATGCCTTCAAGATGTTCTACCGGCTGATGTTGTAGAAGATGGCGAACTTTCTAGCAACTATCAAGAACCTTACTAATTAAATTAAACACCATATCAGAATCCGGAAAAACTATATGAGTACCAGGTCAACTTTATAATAATCATAGCAGGTGTCTAAGTTTGAGAGTTGAAGGAAGAGACCCAATACATAGAAACAGAACCACGGAAAACGTTTTGTAGTGTGCCTTTTATTCGAGTAATCGCACTACAGAAATCTATCGACGGTCGTTAACGCTAACACGACTTTGATACCTGAGAAATAGTAACTACTACGAGGAAATACTTTTCGATAGTTTCAGAAATGTGTAACAATACTCAAGATATTACAAGTTCTAAACTGATAGAGATAACTGAGGTCGACGAACTTTCTAGAAACGTAGATTTGGAAGACGAGCTTTTGTAACCATAAAAGGACATGAGAGTAAACCCGGTGAAGTACCATGGGCCTTTTCAACAATCTTGAGAGCTGGAATAACTTTGTTAGTGTGAGATTGATTGCACAGCGGGAGTCTAAAAGACATGAGCGGTATATTGGTTCGAGAACTATTTTGACACAGTTTACAGATTGGTAAAAATTTGATTACAACAAAGCAACATTAAGAAAATCAAGAAACAAGAGATTTAAGTGTTTAAGGTCTCGCCAGCTTTCTGAACTGTTTTATAAGACCGCGTTGTTTAGAGGTTGTAATGAATCAGGGTAAATATGATCCTAAACGGACAGCTTGTTAACTCTGAATTTACTCAGTAATCCTTGCGTGCATTGTTGTTTACAAAAAACAACAGACGGAAGAAGAAAAACTTTGGAGCATCAGATGAAGTGGGAAATAACCAGGGATTCAATTTTTAAAGAAGCTAAACTTCAACCTAGCGTATTCTAGACGGAATCCAAGGATACACCCCGGAAAACTAAGAAGTACTATTTTTTGGTCTTCCTTTAGAAAGAAGTGATAGTATTCAATCTCCCTAACAAGGCATTGAAAAGAATCAGTGCTCAAGATAAACACGGGTTTCATAGCCATGCATGCTTAACGCAGCAATGTTCTTTTAAAATATTATACGAAGTGACAATTAATGAGAGTCGAGTCCTTGTGGTTCTAATATTTCACAAAAAAACGTTTTGCGATTCGTACTGACCGTTTCTGGAAATTGTGCGCTGAAAAATAGTTAAAAATACCTTTTGTGGTTTTCTAAAATAAGTCAAATCCGCGTTTTTGGTTTCTTACCACAACGGATAACTCCGGAAAGGCACTAAACTTTAGCTAAGCAAATAAGTGTTTAAAAGCTACTAGCCAAATTTTGGGGTGTTAATATAAATAATATGCCTCGAAATGCCGTGTTATTACCTTTCCACATGACTTGTCACTGTTTGGCCAGTGTTTTATACAGATCAAATACGTGACTTTACATCTCTAGTGGGTTTGTGATAACGATATTGAACTGGTGTATGTATAGTTTTGTAGAAGTTCGTGAGAACTCAAATAATTTCAGAACAAAATGTCTCTAATCCTTGGTTCCGAGACGACTTTCGCACGTCCGTTTGCGTCTGTGACTTAAAGAGAAAGTTGGTTTGCAATTGGGCAGTTAATCCCGTCGTTAACATTACGTTATAATGTATTTAGTGTTTGCAGGGCGCGCGTTCTTTCTTGTGCAACATCACGCAAAAAAATGTTATAGAATTGTATCTAAAAAGATTTATTCACGTTAGAAAAAGTTAAAAATTGTGAAGTTTTGGGGACAAACGCTGGAAGATAAAAGGACATTTCTAAAGGGATCGGAAATGGGCGTCTCCAACCCATAAGTACTTAAATATGCTTCGGATTATTCAATTTGTTCATAAAGCTTAAGGAAGCTTCCAGGTTTTCTACTATATTTTACAAGCTCATATTCTAAAACTTGGCGCGACCTTTTGCAATTTATTCACATTCCAAACGTAGGGTCAGGGATGGAAATTAGACTTGACTTACACGCGATTCTTTGCGTGTCACAAGGCCAGATATCTGCCCGTTGTTTTGAACAATAAAAGAGCTGAAAAGAAATATATCAGCCCATAAGCAACTTACATCCATCGATTTCAAAGTCCAAACAACGCAGTACAGGTTCAATTTAGTTTCTGTCGGAAAGACGAACGTCCTGTGCCCGGTCTGAGCTCCTTTGGTTACACAAGACATTTCTGACGGTTGAAATTTCCGAAAAGCGTCCTTTTTCTACAAGGTAGGGAAAGAGGTGTCGATCTACTTGGCTAAAGAAGTTCTACTCTTTTCAAACTTATTACCAGAAACGAATTTGAACATGTACCGAAGATCTAATATAACCTTCGATGCATGTGAGTAAAATCATACAGTGCCGAGACTATAATGAAGAGAAAATGAAGAAGTTCTACTTTCATCACTTTTAATTTGCGTTGCCACAATTTTCCAACAGAAAGTATAGTTTTCCAACTTTTTTTCTTAATCTTTTTAAAAACAGACGAATTTTGGAGTCCTTTGAAGGTAGTAATCATACATGCATGGTTATTGAGGTGTACAAGGTAGTTTTAACTATTACGTCTGAGGGCAGAGGGTGAAATGTTACAAGAGACGAATCAAATCATGATAAGCTACAGAACAGCTACTCTGATTTTTCAAGGACCAAAGAGCTATAAGGAGCTTTTCGAGTAATCTTTGAGTTAAGGGATGAAAAAGAGAGGATGAATAATAGAAGAAGAAAATTTTCAAGCAGAACTTTCTTGTGGCAGCTGGTCCTAACTTTTGAGTCTACGTAGAAAATCGTTAGTGTGGTTATCAAAAGAAAGCAACTGGGCAGTACTACGGCTTTCCTGTGGTTCTCAGTGTTTATTATGCTGTACAAGGTGGTTCTAGGTTTTGTGTCTGTAAATGAAATCCAATAAGTTTTACCATTCAAAAGACAGCTTTTGACAAATGTTCCTGCAGCACTATTTATTACGCAATACAAGGTCAGCGGAGTCTGTAAAGTAACCATTCAAATATAAACTACCGAGAAGCAGCACTTATCTGAAGTGCTGCTGTAAAGGTCCGACTTCATTCATGAAGATGAAATACTGAAGTGCTCGGACTGTTCGACTTAAACCTCGTTTATTAAGCACAGACTTTTAATGTAACATTTTACCGATTCGTTACTGCATGCTAAAAAAAGTGACTAAGTAACACATCCACTCAGGAACATTATACGATCTGCAAAAACCGATAAAATAGTCGCCAGCGAATTGAAGATTTAGTGCCCCAAACTAAGTAATAGTCAGACAATGATGTAACAATATGCTACAAACATCGCTAACTCTATAGTCTTGAAACTAATGTGTCGGTTAGTGAGTAATCAGATACTATATCGAATATAATTTCATTTAATGCAGACATCAATAGTGTTAAACATAAACCGTGATTATGAAATGACACAAATTTTGGTTAAGCAGGGGTCGATTGCCCGGGCTCCTGGGTCTTATGAACGTTAATTGCTCTATCTTATTAAATTGTGAAAGGTCATAACGTCACCTGTAGAAACTTTAGTGAGGAAAACATGAAGAGAGACAGGCATTTTTAAAATTCTGCTCATTAATACCGATATTTTTGAAATCCTGTTCTTTAATAGATTTCGACTATCCTTTAATAAAGAAGAAAAAAAAAACGCAACAACAAAGTGAAAACTACAATTTCAGTTATGACTAAGACATACAACGTATGACTTCTACTTGGAGCACAAACACTAAGAAAGACGAAACTGAATTTAATTACTTATTTTATATCGCAGCTTCTTTAATTGAAGAAAACGAATATTATAGTGTTTCAGATCAGAATCGCTGGTGATAATGGGGCTTTTAACCGCTCAAGTTCATTGATAACGATAGTCTGTCCAGCAATTCCTTTATTTCCTAAGTGCCCATTAAAAAACATATACTGTATTTTATCAGACTCAAGTGCATCTCCCGTGATCAATTGGTAAAATCTCATAATCAGCAACTATACGCACTAGTTATGAATATACTGTTTTCAAAAGAGATGTGAAATGTCGATCATTTTTTGGACTTATATAAGGTAACATTGCCCTCTATTTCTCCCGTTCTGAGAATGGTTTTTTTTTTTTAATTCAGTCAGAGACAGATAAGACCAGGAAAAATATTCTAGTTCTTCCAAAAGGAGTTTGAACCTACATGACCTCTGGTTAGCTAGTAGTCTAGATTCTCTACCAGCGAGCTACAAGAGACGCGTAGGAGTTAAGGCCATTAAACTAGGTTAATGTGACAAACATCCTATGTACTGCTAATGCTACGACGGGAGTGTTAACAGACGGCCTTTCGCAGCGATAATCATAAAAAAAATGAGATCATGGTGTTCAGCAAGCCTGCCGAATAAATGAGAATAATTATTTTTTGCGTCAAATGACATAGGCTTATCGGGAAAAAAAACGATTTTTTTCAACAGGAGTCAGTGGACTGAACGATTCTCCTGAGTTTTGTAAGGTGTCAGTGAGATAAAGATCGCCAGAAAAAAGGAAATCATTATCAGTGCTCAGATAAGTCTTTCAATTGGGTCTTGAAATAAACGCAGTGACCACCCGAGTTAGCAAGATGTGTGGTCCCTCAACGTTAGAATCGAGCACTAGAACTATTGTTTACAGAGCATAAGAATAAACAAGAATAAAATGCTCTGTAAGATTATGCAACATTGTCATCGTGTTGAAAGGGGATATGTCGCGCTATTTGCTACCTTTTTAAAAAGTGTAAACTTTTCTCGCATCAAATGAATTTCAGAAATAATGGTCCAGTTTTGTTATTTAAGACTATATTTAAGCATTGAAACTGTTTCCTTTCGTCTGACGCAACGGATGGCAAGGATGGACATGGATTAAAAGTCGAAAAAGTTGGGCCAACCTTTTCAAGTTCTAATGCAATGCCTGCAAAACTCACCAAAAACACTGTTATGGTTAGTGATTGCTTATGAAATCTGTATGATATCTTCCTCATAACTCTACAAGAGCATTTTGTGTATGGGTTAAGGCACTAAGCAAAAACTACCTACCCCTCCTCTAAGCCCACATTTAACCCTAAGTAAGTACTAAGTGTTAGTCTTGGTTTAGGGGAGGGGTAGGTGGGCAGTTTCCCAGAAACGTAAAATGATGCCAGAATTGACCTGAAATAGCAGTATCTTCCTGACAGAGCCTCGTTAACACTTTCATTCCTAGAAAAAACATTTAACACTTATTGGACGAAGTTGAGAAAAATACCGTGATTTGTCAGTGGTGAGCAGATCAATTATCTGCCAAAGCCGAAGGCTGAGGCGAATAATTAATCTGCAAGACACTGAAAAATCACGGTTTTTCGCGATAACCGAGTCCAATAATTGTTTTATCATTCGATGACCGAGTCTTTTAATTTTTTTTAATTATTTGAGAAAAGAACTGCCACTTTCACGCAAGAGCAATGGCAAGAAGGAAAAAAGCGTGGTTTCATTTACGTATGAGCAGAATATCATTTGCAGTTAAGCACAGTTGGACGACATTGCGCATGGGCAGATCATAGGTAGTTATTTGTAGGTCACGTGGTGGGCTCTCGTCCAATGAAAAGGAAGGACAATTTGCATCGAATGAGTGAGTGTTGTGAGGTGGATCCAACTTTTGAGTCTGTTGACGAAAACGTTTGTTGAAACCTCTTTGGTAGTACCTTCACAAGGTGCTACTTGTTTTTCAGCATTTTACGAAAGAAAATTTAGAACTTTTGATGAATTAAATGACTTTAGCCACTTCTGCGAGTGGATTTTATTCCTTTTTGGAAAGATAAAGATTAAATTGCCGTATTAGCTCGCTAGAGACAATTATATCATTTAAAGATTAAAGTTGATCATCCGTACTGACAAGGATGCCCCGCTCTCTAGTAATTTCACGCTGAAACAAGATTTCACTGAGAGAAACCAAACTAATCTACTGTGATTTATAATACAACTGACATGGGAGGACGAGGAGTTTTCTCTTTTTGGAATTGAGTAACGAAACAGAGCAGAGAGATGCAACAATTAACTGAACAATCAACAGGAAGGGCTAATCTACAACCTTTTTCTGGAACTGAAAAGTTCAGAAGTGACTGACAAGCACAATGTTCTGATAAAGTTAATCTATTCATAAGCTTTGGAACAAAGGCTCTTTGTACTGAAAACTCCCAAAGATCAATATTCACACCTAACCACAACAGATTTCAGGNATCACGGTTTTTCGCGATAACCGAGTTCAATAATTGTTTTATCATTCGATGACCGAGTCTTTTAATTTTTTTAATTATTTGAGAAAGGAAATGCCACTTTCACGCAAGAGCAATGGCAAGAAGGAAAAAAGCGTGGTATCATTTTACGTATGAGCAGAATATTATTTGCAGTTAAGCACAGTTGGACGACATTGCGCATGGGCAGATCATAGGTAGTTATTTGCAGGTCACGTGGTGGGTTCTCGTCCAATGAAAAGGAAGAACAATTTGCATCGAATGAGTGACAGGAGTGTTGTGAGATGGATCCAACTTTTGAGTCTGTTGACGAAAACGTTTGTTGAAACCTCTTTGGTAGTACCTTCACAAGGTGCTACTTGTTTTTCAGCATTTTACGAAAGAAAATTTAGAACTTTTGATGAATTAAATGACTTTGGCCACTTCTGCGAGTGGATTTTATTCCTTTTTGGAAAGATAAAGACTAAATTGTCGTATTAGCTCGCTAGAGACAATTATATCATTTAAAGATTAAAGTTGATCATCCGTACTGACAAGGATGCCCCGCTCTCTAGTAATTTCACGCTGAAACAAGATTTCACTGAGAGAAACCAAACTAATCTACTGTGATTTATAATACAACTGACATGGGAGGACGAGGAGTTTTCTCTTTTTGGAATTGAGTAACGAAACAGAGCAGAGAGATGCAACAATTAACTGAACAATCAACAGGAAGGGCTAATCTACAACCTTTTTCTGGAACTGAAAAGTTCAGAAGTGACTGACAAGCACAATGTTCTGATAAAGTTAATCTATTCATAAGCTTTGGAACAAAGGCTCTTTGTACTGAAAACTCCCAAAGATCAATATTCACACCTAACCACAACAGATTTCAGGAAACGCGAAATGTAGGTGGATCTAGGTTTTATTTAAAAGGGCTAAATTCTCCCACGTAATACGTCTAGCTGCTTCCGAAACTAAAATAGCTCTTTTCACTTAAAGCTTGCCTTCAACTGTTATTTTGTTGTATAACTAATAATCCAAGTTTGCGTTTGACATTGTCACAAACTCTATGTAACCCAAGGAAATAGAAATAATACGTGCGCATTAAAAAGGATGGATTTTGAGAGACCATGCAGGCTTTAGACTATTAAAACTGCAAAAACTGATCGAAACAGTAAGGTACTTTAGGGAACTAGACACAATTTTATTAAGTGAAATGGAATGGACTGACTCAGCACTTAATTCCAAGCTTTTAAATGGAACAACCTCATTTCATCACATCAGCATTGCGCAACGTTTCGAGTTGTCAATCAAGCGAAGGTTTTAGCATTGACGGCCGACGGAACTCAGACTTTTTTGTGCGTTAGCTGAGTCATGATTCGGTCCGCATGGTTTTCGCGAAGGGGCGGATATGATGTACGCACGGGTTTTTTCACGTGTCTGGGCAATAATTAGAAAGAAAAGGGAGCTAATTAAGTAGCAGCTCACTTGATCCCTCTACCGCCTTTCAGTCTTTAGATAAATGATTGAATAGATCTGCAAATTGCTGGGGTACACCCACAGTATTAAGCTGTGCAATAATTGTTGTAATGGGAATGATTTTTAATGCTTTCACCCCTAAAATCACCTTGAATCGAAGTTATTCTTTCTTTGCCAAAGCAACTTTGTAAATGTAGACAAATAACACCTTGTGAAGGTACTCATGTTAAAGAGATTTTACTTGAATGGTCACACCATATGATTCTGTCCACAGTTATTCTTTCTTTGCCAAAGCAACTTTGTAAATGTAGACAAATAACACCTTGTGAAGGTACTCATGTTAAAGAGATTTTACTTGAATGGTCACACCATATGATTCTGTCCACAGTTCAAGGGTTTAAGTAGCATAAATAACGCTCAGACTGCAAAGGTTAAGGAGGTGTGCGCCATTTATAACTTTTAAGAGTCCTTAGACACATTTACTAGATGATTAAAACAAAGGAAAAAAGAAACACAATTCCAAGGGTGACAATCGATGAATGTAGATATCTGAATGCGAAAGAACTGTTGTATTCATACTGACTGGGTTGTTCAGAAATCAAGAAAGAAATTTGCTGCAAAAGGTATATAACTAAAATATTGTAACAAAACAAAAAACTGACCACATTTTTCAGCTGTTGGTAACTGCTGTTATAATAGGTACGTCGGAGATAACTACAAGACTTGTATGCACCTTGTTCGAGTACCCAATTCAGGGAAAGATAAGTCTCTGTTATAGAGGCCTCTTGGGTAAATTTTGTTGTAAACTCTCAAGACGTTATTAAGTTGTTTGTTAAAATGACTTTTAATTTCCGCTGGGAAATAATATCGAGATATCGGCAAGAAATATTAAAAATGGAAAGAATTTATAAAATGCTGATTAATTTTTTGTGATAATATATTTCAGATATCGAGCTTGTTACTTTGTGCAGAAAACAAAAAAGCGCTGAAGGATATTAATTCTGTGGCGAGGGCCTTGCGAGACTCAAACAGCTCCGCCAACGGGGAAAACGTAGCTTCAGGCCAACAGGAAAAAACTTGGAACGTCATGAAGGTTAACAAAACTGAAATGGACCAAGCAATGGAATGCTTATTCCAAACGGTAAGTCAAAAGATACGTTCAAAAATTGTTGTGAATCTCAAATTTTATAGCAATGCATTTTTCTATTTTTTTATTTCTTTTTTACTAGCTAAGAGCTTACGGTGGCTCTTGATTCGCTTTCCTTGTTTGTAAAACTGCTTCTGTATCATACTTCAAAGTATGATGACTTTTCGTGCAGCCAAAGTAATTACCCAGTTGAAGCTCTTGATAGTCTGCACGCAATTTGCGCGGGCAACGCGCGGAACGAGGGCGGGATCTCTTAAATAACTAAATGACGTAGTTAAAGCAATCAACCAATAAACCAGAGCTGTATCAACATGACCCTTTGCTATATTCATGGCACAATAATTGTCTTTTTCCGCTTTATATGGTCTCATAATGATTTGCAGTTATACCGCATTGACACACGAACATTATGCAAATGCAATTTTCTATATAAGACTTTCGGTAGAGTTTAAGTGCTCAGTGTGTCAAACAGCTCACACTTAAAAAGATGCAACTTTTAGCCAGTGTTGAATGGATAGGAGAGGTAAGACATTACTCTTCTTTTACAGAACACGGCCCTTTTTGTCCAGATGACGTCCGTACATTATGATCCAAAGTACCGGCTTTAAAGACTTAGTAATGTACTGCTAATTACAGCTTTCATTTTAAGAGCGCACTCTTGAGTTCCATTCAGACTTGAAAGTTCAGAGAGAAAGAACCCTTTGAGCTCATAGCGCACGTGAAATTGCAACAAGTAGATAATGAATCGTCCGTTAGAGGTTTACACGAAGGTTTTACTATTAAGGAGGAGAAGTTGAAAAAGCTTTTATTTTGTCGAGACGTTACTCACGTCTATACCCCAGAAACCCTATGTATCCACTCATCTTAAGCAGGTCAAACCTGGCATTTTGCCAGCTAAGGCCAGTGAAAAAAGGGTAAGAACTTGAAATCTGATTTCAATTCATTGGAAAACCGTGGTAACAGCCTTAAGATTTTTATTTAAAAAAGTGAAATTTTGACATTACATTCTCTTCTTTCTGTCCCCGAATTTTTCACTATTGTTTTAGCTTAAACCCTAGGGAAAGTTCAATTAACTTTAAAAGAGTTTTTGGGAACTTTTCGTTAGTATGTTTAGTTCAGACGTAGAAATATCAAATGATAGGAACTCAAAACAAGCGCTGATAAATTACGCCGCTTGGGAACTCTAAATTTAACACAGGAAAGGACGAAAGAGCAGAAATCTACGTCTTAAACGCATCCGCCGGATTTAAAAGTGAAGTGATCAATATTAACAAGCAGACCATAACTTACAAACGCCTTAAAAGACAAGAAGCTATTGTAGATGCAGGAAGATGCTGAGTACTTTCACTTTAAAGCTAGGCGCTGAAGGCAAGCAGTTTTACCAATGAAAACCTTTAACGTCGATCCCTAAGGCTTCAAAAATGCATATGAGAAGAAGCAGCGATATCTCTAAATCAAACGAGAGTGGAAAGGAAATGATTTGAAGTGGAGCCAAAAATAAATGGTTCTTTTAGATTTTCGATGCAACAGTATCGTTCTTCTAGCAGTGGAGAGAGGTTATAAAGATAAATGAATTATTTGGATTTTTTACGAAACCATAAGGAGACTTTGAAGAATATACAAATTAATTTGCCAACTTTCAATTAGACGGGCTTCAACTCTATTGGCTTGCATGACGCTGTCGAGGAGTAACCAATACCGAACAACTTTCGCAACTTTCAAATTCACGCAATCCTCTTTGTTTAGGCAAACTCAAGTTATCTCCGTCGATCTTTATCTGTTTTGGAATCTAAAAATGGATTTCTTTTTTGTGCCGTTGGCATAAAATGCCTCGAGACTAATTGTTAACACCAACTCAAACTCGAGCTGCAGTCTACCGCGCTTCGTTTTCGCAAAATTTGTCGAAATTGTGACAAAGCAAATTTGCTAGTCTTTACGCTTTACTGGTTGGTGAGTCTATGGCTTTATGACGTGTTAAGCCACTTGAGTTATATCCAAGCCTAATTTAATGGGCCGCTGGTCTCACGAAAATGCTTTAAATAAAACAAAAACACGAGATCCGGTGTGTTACTTCGATTGGCTAATCAGATGCAAACACCGACGTTTACTAGATCTTGCAGTTTCGGCGAGATGTCATCTTCAAAAACGCTGATGTATAATAAATGTTTAAAGGGTGATGGATTCATGGTTTCGCGAGCGAGTAATTGCTCGTTATGCAAATATCTTTGTTTCACAGTGATTTTTGTTTGATCGACGATCACCTAGCGGAAAAGCAGAAGCCAATAATGAGAAAAAAATTAACTGAAGCTTGAAATCCTTAGAAATATTTAAGGGCAACTAGTCAACTCTTTCTCTCTCAAGAGTGCCCAAACAAAAAATAATCAAGAAAAAAGTGCCATGACTTTTAATAATTTTTTGTAAATAAAATACTGAAAAACAAATGGTACAGTGCGAAGGTACTTTTAAAGAGGTTTCACTTGAATGGTCACACCATACAATTTCATCTACAGCCTGAAAAGTTAGAGTAACTCATTGACGTCTTTGTAATTGAGGTAATTAGCAAAGCTGCAGTAACCTGCCGAAAAGTCTCGGGTCATCACAGACTTCAAAACTTATTTACTCTTCTTTGGCAAACTATGATCTCTAACTTGAGTTTCCATCAGTTTTTTCCAGTTCAAAGGAAACGAGAAGGAAATTTAATTGCTAACAACAAAACAAAAAATTTCCATCCATTTATAAGCTAGAAATCACCTTGCACAATACAAATGAAAAAAAATCGATACCACAACAACCTACCGCCCACTAGCTGGCTTTTATTTTGTTTGTCAAAGCTAAGAACGTCATTTCCGACACAAAGGCAAGAAAAATCTTTAAACAGCACAGTACGGTGTCACAGAAAAGCTCAAGTGCATTCATTTGAACGTTCACACTTAATGATTTCATCCGCCGACACCATTACAGGAAACTACTGCTCAGTTGCTTTCATTTGAATGTTGACACGGTATAATCTCGTCCACACATTCTGCAAAACGGATAGAACCACTTTACACAACATATTAAAAACATTACCGCAGGAAAGTACTCACTCAGTAACTTTCATGGCAGAAATGGAGTCACATTTAATGATCTCGTTCACAGACTCAATAGTCAGGACCACTATATGTACATTATGAAAACAGTACACCATTCAGCAGTACATTCATTCATTCATTCATTCAGACCAATGAGAAAGAACGCCTCAGTATCTTCATTGAAATGGTCTTTATATTCACGATTAATAATTTCGTCTACACACTCAAAAGTAAGAACCACTTTACACAAAATGAAAATAACAACACAGGAAAGTAATATTCAGTGGGTTTCACTGAAACGGTCGCACTTCCTGATCTCTTCTACAAACTCAAACGTCAGAATCACTTTAAGCAACATTGTAAAAATAGCATCAGAGGAAAGTAATGCTCAGTAGCTTTTATTGGAAAGGTCACACTTATCATTTCATGCGTAGATTCAAGCGTTGAAACCACATTGCACAGCATCATATAAACAGTAGTACAAGAAAGCATTGTGCAGTAGTTTTTATTGAGTCACTGCAGCCTCAAGTAAGGATGCCGACACAATTTGCTAAAAGCCTAGGGTAGCACCGTCTTCCGTACAGGATGATGACATGGGAAATTATTGCACGGAGTAGCATGCTTTTATTAATCGTCACACCCGTTAAAGATGTCAGTGGGCGACTCCGTCACACTGGAACACATGACAAGCAATCAAAATTATCGTTCCTTTTATTCTGGTGGAGGAAAGACACAGTATAACAGGAAAAAATGTGTCATTTGTAATGAATCTTACTTAGCTACTCGCCTTCGAAAATTGCACTTGTGACACACTAAGTTGCTAGAGATTGACGCTATATTGAGAGACTTGTTGACCTTTTTTATATGGAATTTACAAGAGCAGTAAGCTCTAAACCTGCAAAAAAAACTCGACACTGAAAAACAGGGACAAAGAAAGCCTCAGAAGGTTACGATAACACGATCGAAAATCTAAGTTTCAAGGCAGAGGCTTGTGCGAAGGAGGCGGAGGCATATTTTTCAAAATATCCGGAATACATGATTTAAAGACCGTTCGAAAAGAAGATCATATGATTACTCCACTTAGACTGTGCTTCCAGAGATTTCCAGCTAAACCTGATTGCGAAACGAAGAAAACCACTAATAGCAAATTATTTTCCTTCATAAATACATCAACGAAACCGCGAAAAAAAAATACAACACTGGCTGGTAACAGTCGGTCTCGTAAAGATAGACCCAAGATCATCGGTGTGTATTCTAGAAGCTTCAACGCTTTCCTAATGGGAACACGGTTTCTGGAGATGGAAAACTAAAAAAAAAGCTAATTTGAAATTAAAAAAAACAACAACAACAACAAAATTTACAACTTCACCATAGTACGTACTACTTCGTAATTAAGTGAAGCAAGAGAGCAAATGTCAAGCTGTTGTTGACACAATCAGCTCGGTAAAACAGTCTCAGATTGTACTTAACGCTTACAACATTTTTTTCACAAATTATTTTTGCTGAGTATGGCTGGCCAATACTTTTATCTTTACCTTGAACAAATGTCATCTAGTCACGCATAAGTCCGGCCTTTCCATCGTGCTCCGGAAACACTTTTTGACTATAAAATGATACCTCTTGTTAGTTCAGGATTTCCGACGTTGGTTGCTCTATGTTTGGTATGCACTTTGCTGTCGCCATGCATCCTGAACGAGCACAGCCGACCGTATCTTTTGTTGGTTGCTATTCATTGTCTAATTAGACAAACCGAATTGTAGCACCGTTTAAACGTGCTCTGGAACGGTTACAAGGAATGAAGTGTCAGTTTCGGTAAGAATCTATCAAATTTGCTAATTTTATAAAGTGCAAAGTCAATTAGTTTATGGGGTTTAAAGGTGATGTTATCTCACGCGAATACGGTAATACGGTGTGTCGGTGTTGCAGTTGTATCACACCCGTTACATTAATCGCAGTTCGTTTGGTACATTACTGTAATCGAAGAAAAGAAGCTTCAAGGTACATCAGATCGTTTAAACCTCATTTTACACAAACTGGTTTCACAGATGCTTAAAATACTTGAGGCTTCCTGCCCACGAAACAAGCGCTTCACGTTTGCTTTTCTCATTTCGTTGCACGACGTGTGTTCGCGAGTCACGAACCCGATCAAAAGCAACCAAACAACAATTCACGACGGTAAAAAAACAACCTTTTGGTATTTCTCAAGCAGCTCTTAAAGGTAATCTTCTTTTCCCCTTTGATAACATCGCTGAGATCCTTGTGATATTCACGAGCAGAGCCAATAATATAGCGTGGTTTTGTAGCCATCGGCAAGGAAAGAGACATGTCTAGCTAATTCAAAGCGATAGAAAAATCCGGAACTTTACATCCAAAACAATGGCCCATTTCAGATGCGTTCAAATGCTTGTTAATGTGAAAGCTCTAGTAGCAGAGTAAATATGTTTATTTGTTTTCGGCAAGCTGTAGAAGAAATCCATATTCTTGCCATATTTGCTTTGTTTTCCGCCCGGCGGATATAAAAGTTTCATTAGAAGAAAAACAACCATTAGTGAGAGCGGATCTCGAGAAAGGCGGCTCGCCTTTACGTTTTTTTTTTTTTTTAAAAAAAAAAGAGACCTCGATATCTCATTGCTACAAACCGCGAGGAGTGGTCATCGCGCAATAGCCAAGGGGTTGTTGAATTATAAACTTAACTACCGGTCAAAGCAGTAAACTTTTAAAACCTGCTTGTTCAGAGATATGTTGATAGGAAAGATGAAAGAGTCAAGAGATTGTGTGTTGAACGTGGGCAAGAGGTTTAGCACTTTTTTAAGGGACTTTCTGCGCGATAAAAATTTTTTCAGTATCATGTAGGTTCATCAAGCGGCTTGTGACGTAAAGATAGGTAAAATATTAAACTAATCAACTTCGATTCGCAAGGAAAATTAAGCGGTTATATGCCAAACAAATACCGGAAATGATACGTAACGCAGACTTTGTCAACAACTGTCAAATTTATGTCAGGGTTAATGAAACCCTTCAAATGCACAACCAGAAATGAAATGCGAGCACAGTGACCTATAGAAAGCTTCCAAATAATAACCTTCAGGCATTTTGACCCGAGGGGTATTATTTAGCCTACGGGAAAATCGCAAGACGGTGGATGAAAGGAGAATCCAGCCACGTTAAAAGACTGCGAAAAACCAATTCCCCGCCTTCAGAGGCCTGTGATTGGCGGGGCGGTGAAATTTAATAAGTCTTAATTAGTTGCCATAGCTACTTATATGAATAGGTGTCAATCACAGGGGGGTTTCCTTCAGAAAAGCACTGTGACCGACGATAAAACCCAAGGTGCTTGGGCAGTGTGTTGCAGTTTAGCATTTCTATTGTTTTCCACTCGTGTGTAAAGATAAGAGAAAGGATGCTTTCCCTTGAGTGATTTACATGCTTTTACAGAGTAAAGCATCGGCTCATTTGAACTGCGCGCGCCAGAGTGGATCCGAATACATTTGCCATAACTCCTTCTAGAGGTAACCATAATAAGTCAATGGGCGAATTTTATTATTCTTATTTATCCTAATGCGCGCGGGAAAGCAGCTTGAGTCAGTTTAACGGGGAATGTATGCATTCTTTCTTGTGCTCATTTTGTTTAATCTTGTTTACTTTGTTATTTGAATGTTATAGGGGAATGTGATGCGAGGACACAATACGGACATTAATCTCAAGGACTACTCAGATACGGTCAGATACCTTGAGCAGTTCCAAGAAATTACCAGCAAAACTTTCAGTGCCGAATTTCAGAAAAGCGGAGCTGAAATCGCAGAGGAGACAGACGTCAAGAGGTCCCCAGAGCCCCTTCCCGCGCCTTTCAGTATGTATGGACCCAGTGACGGGTTTTACTCATCTCGAGTTCAAGGCCAAAACATTTTAAACCCAAACGTACGCAATGGAAATTTAGTATCTGAAAGAGGCATACCAAATCATTTCGGTTCATTCAAGCACGCAGAGATCGGGGTAGAGAACATGATTTCATCGGAGAGAGGTGCTCCGATGTTTGATTATCATTACTCGCAGCACAATACACACGGTGGAATGTCCACAAACGAGGTTGCTAACTTTGCGAACGCAGCTAACACGCAAAATGAATTTGCGGTGGAAAATTCCACCACACCGTTCGGTCAAGGTGTTGCAAAAGGTTGTCTGTCTCCGTCACTTCAGAATGGTCCACAGCAAGTTGCCATTAACCCTCTAGCTGGCTTAACAGAACTGGCCGAGAAAGCGAACTTCGCGTCTGAACTCGCCCGAAATGGCGTCGCCGAGTCTCGTTTTAGCTCTCAACCACGCCGCGGCCAAATAAATGGCCCGGCTGTTCAGTACAACTTCCCAGAAGCACCGAGAAGCCGAAGCTGGTCACGTTCTATACCTGAAGGTGTAAATAGCTTCTTCAATGGAGGACAGCAGCCTTTTCAAGCTGATGAGTTCTCGCCGACTCTCTCGACAGGGAGTTCGATTCTCACAGATTCTGAGCTGGGAAGCCCGTGTCACTCGGCACGGCCGCGACACTTCTTCCCTTATAGCGAGTCGGAGTCGGATCTTTCGCCGACTGAAATAAACCCCTATGATAGATCGAGAGCATCTTACCAGAACTACAACTCGAGAACGTTTGCAAATTACAAACTTTGGAGTAATCAGACTGAGTCGATCACGCCAAATGTAACGGTAGTTCCCGACCCAAGGAGTAAGCTGTCGCAGTTGTTCAAGTCTGGCAGTCGTAGCACCACCAAATCGGAGGAGATACTCAAGGAACATTTGCAAAACTTCGGCAAGTACTTGCCAACGCAGGGAGACAAAAAGCAAGAAAAAAAAGCTGACACTGAACAAGAGAATAGCTGGACTGGCGAGGAGGCGGTTAAAGAGAAGAAAACTTCGACAACAGCTTCTAACGCGAAGGAATCTAGCGAAGAGAATACAGTGTTCCCTTGTAAATGGGTCAACTGCGAGGGATCCATATTTTCGGAACAAGATGACTTGGTGCGCCATATAGAGAAAGTTCATATCGATCAAAGAAAGGCGGACGATTTGTATATTTGTTATTGGAAAGACTGCAGCAGGCAACGAAGGGCTTTCAACGCGAGATACAAGCTTGTGATTCATATGAGAGTCCATTCGGGCGAGAAGCCCAACAAATGTACGGTAAGTAGTACGGGTAGTACAAAAGCGATGTTTGTTTTGTATTGTCTTAGAGTTCCTTCAGATAGATCGCGTCAATTATTTTGCACTCAATTTGTAGGATTGGGAGTGATATTGAGTCAAGAATCGAGTTTTGGACATTTCTCAATATCGGCTCGAATTACCTACCAATCGAGCGATGGGCATCTGTTATCGCGAAATGTCCAAATACAACACGTGGAAGTGAATTCAGACTTAGCGGTTCTCGGTGCTCGTTTTGACACGAGTGGTATTCAAATGTCACCTTGGGCATAATTTAATCATGTTTTTATGAGTTCAATCACACGACGTTGCTTTCTTTGATCAGGCAGAGGACTTTTGTCGGTTTTTGGATGGGAAATGAAGGTCTGCGATGCGTGAAATTCAGGAAATGAGTAGACACATATTTTAGCATTGCGGTCAAAAACCCATCTCGTTTCTAGACGGCCTGTAGCTAAAGGTAACATTCTGATGTAGAAGGCATTTGAAGCCACTCACGCCAGGTTCTCTGTGCATTTGCATAAGACACAATAAAACCTTTGTTTGTCTTTCAGTTTGGCCTCTACAGCTACAAATTCAAAGGCATATTTGTTATACTTGTGGTTCGGAACAGTCGAAAAGAAAAACAAATTCCCTAGACCAGATCTCGTAAATCACGAAACGGCTTTGCGCGTGTTTAAATCTCTCGTCTCGCTTTTCTAAGGTCAATAATGAAAGAGGAGAGTTATAAGGAGGATTTTTTTAAGTCTTGGCGAACTTTCGCGCGAGAATTTACCGCAAAAATATCTGCGCATTCAAGAGCAATGAAAGGGTTCCATGTGGCTCAATCGGCGGGGATGCTATAGAGAATTGTTACACAATCAATCGTTTTCAGTCTAAAATACCATGTTTTCGAGAATGATCACTCACAAAAAACCGTACGAAAAAAAATTAAGAGAACAAAAAGTACACTAGCTCGACCTCTTCATGGTTTTTGTGTTCTATTCTTCTTTTATTAATTCCGCGTGTATGCAACCTGTTTTGAAAAGCAATTTGTTGAGTGAGGAGAGAGGGGGGAGTGGTGTCGGAAGACTACAAAGAAAAACTATTGAAAGTCGCCTCATACAGTCTTTACATTCGCAAGTTTTGTCTCCCCTTCCAAATAAAGTTATGAATATAATTAGATTTGGTGTGAATTAAAATGGACATTGCCTTCAAAATGGTCGCTCGGCGATGGCTAAGGCGCGAGGCTCTCTGTTGACCTTGGGGCGAAGAAACGACCCCCGCTGTTTGCGTGAATCGTCGTCACGGAAGACTTTGGACGGAATTTTTTTACGTATTCCAAAAGTTGAAAACCACCTGCTCTTAGTCAATGACAGTATCTAGTAATATGTTGGTCATCAAGCGTTTTATTTCAAGTTGGCAACACTCTAGGAAGGCAAACCCAAACAATTCCCATTTGACAAAGATAGTTTTTTCTTGAGAACGCCCTAATTGATATCACAAACGTCATCGTTAAAATGGTTTTTCTTTTAATTAAAATTTATACGATGATTTTTTTCTGTTTTATTTCACACTAGTGTACAAATTTAAAGCGATACCTGTGATTCTTCGTGAGTGCTAAAAAAGTCATTGTTTGATCACCCCTTTTGTCTGTGTAAAATGGTGCACCTGCAATAAATCTTTGAAGATTGTCTTCATTCTGTCTGGATAAAAAGCGTTTCAAATTGCATATTTAAGAGTGTGCAAACCGTTCTATTTAGTTTAATATTGAATTTTATGGAAAACCTCATGTATTTTGTGGAAATTTAAGGACAACATTTAACAAAACAAAGCGCTAATTGATTTGCACTCGACTCGTGCTATTTTCGAGGGCAAAAAATAATATTCAACTGACAGCGTATTAAATTGCTTTTACTCAATATTTATCTCTCTTTTGCATTTATTAAGTTTGAGTCCTAAATCAATCAAAATAAATAAAACATGACAGTTAGCAATTGAATTTCTAAATACAAATTAATTTTTTTGGACATTGTGGCCAAAACATTTACAGTAGACTACCAACAGACAGTTTAATTTCAAATTGATGCATCGCAAAATAAACGCCTTTGTTTCTGCTTTGTGTGTCGAGGCCATTTCAAGAAAACTGGCACTGCGGCAAATTTGATTGCAGTAATTACTGATCAGTTGTTCTTAACTAATTTTTCTGACAATACACTGCCCACAGATATTTGAACAACAGTCTTCCTAACATTAAATGCAGATATACAGTGTTTTAGAAAAATAGAAAACAACTTGTACAGAAGTTACTTCCTGACAAGTGTATGCTCATTGCTATTTTAGGTGCTAGGACATTAATTATTTTTCTAAATTTATTATGTTTGTTTTGAGTGACTTTCTTACATTCAACAATTTTGTTTATCTTGGATGGGTTTTCTTTCAATTAAATCTTACAAGTATAAAAGAACAGGTTCTGTAGCCTCTGGTGGCCTGTTATTTGATAGATTATTTTTTTGGAAAAATTTGGAACTAGTTCTTGTTTTTTTGAACCCAGCTGGTATGATGAATAGAGTGGTTTGAATTTCAACATCAGACTGAGGTAAACAATTCCCAGTAAAGCACGCAGATCTCTGTGTAAGAGTTTTACCATAACTGTTCTCAATAAATACAGTATATATATGTTCATATCTTTTGGCTTTAACAAAAATTAGTTCCTCTTGCCATTTTACTGATAGAATTGTAGATTCGCTTTTTGAAATACATTGCATTGCATAAGTAAATTACTGCTCCATGACTGACATGAATGGTCATGTTATAGCCACCCTCGACGGCATAATATTTTTAACAACACCAGTGAAAAGTAGAAAAGTAGCTAGCACTATGTATTCTTCATGTATATGTCCAGACTTCAGAATTTTATCCACAAACTTGAAAATATGAGAAGCTGTCTTGTCAAACAAGATAAAATTATTATTGTGGAAAGTGAACTGCTCTGCAATAAATGTTTAATGAATATAATATATTCATTAAACATTTAAGTGCAGAGCAAGTGTATAGAGTTGCGCACAGAATAAGTTGAGTATCATCTATTTGTCCTATGAAACACATAACCAAACACATTTCGATTTTTAAAGCTTAGGTTCTTTGAAACAAAGATGTGGACATAAACAATAAAACAAGAACTTTCTCAAGCTGACGCAAGTAATCATCTGGTAAATTATTACAGCTGTATTTAACAAAAACTACAAAGATAGTTCAAAATGATTTCATAGTTTTAGGAAACAATATTAAAGAGTGCACCTATGTTTCACTGAAAGTTTAGCGAATCCATATTTATTTGCAGGAGTGATAATGGTCTTTCAAAAACGTCAAGTTGGTAATTTATTAGAAATTCACTGGTGTTGTTTTTGAGTCAGTTCGAGATCATTTTGTCTCATGTAAGCATTCCACTGTTTTTAGTAGTCTTGAAGTCTCATTCTTTTAGATCTTGTGAAGTAGAGTTTACAGTCATCAGAATTCAGGTCATTGGTACTGCCAATATCAAGATTAAATTTGATATTATTTTGTTGACATTTGAGATACTATTTTAAAATGACAAATATATATTGGTCAGTGAGTGAAAAATATTCACTTCCTGATGACCATAAGCATCTGTTCAAGACCAATAGTACAGCTTTAGCACTGACATATTTTGTCTTAAACTTGTGTACTCTGTCTTGGACGAAAAACACATTTTTGGTGAAAAAACAAAGAAGCAATGTCTAGCCATTGGAAACTTAAGCACTTGGTTATGCATCTTAAGTCTCAAGAAGGTTCAAAAGACAATGGAGAGATTAAAATCATAATGTTCCTCTGTTATCCCCACAAACATCATGTTATTCCCAAACACAAACATCCTTGTTTTTAATCCAGACGAAAGACAACATCACAAGTGGCTTTGAGACAAAGCCAGCGATTTGGCTTAAGAGGTCAAGTGCGGATTTCCACTGTCAATAGGATAGGAACTGAAACTGGCATTATGTACAGAATACTAATGTAAGAAGAGGTGTAAGCCTTCAGTACTTGCTTAACTGGTCCAACCTGACCCGGCCAAGGCTGTGCTCTCAGAAAAACAGTAGGGAGCCCAATAATCCAGGGTTGCCTAGCATTTATTTTTCGTTGAAAAAGCAAGGTTTTTAAGGGTGAAAGTAGGTCATCAGCAGGCCACCAGGTACTATTACGCGCTAGAGCATACCAAGGGGACAGAGGATTGGAAATCCATCTTAATCTTAATGTCAATCACCATGTTCTGAAAGTAATTTTCTCACAGTACTTTTGTGATTACATTATTTTGTATTAAGTTGCTCCAGTTTTGCTGTTATTCCACTGTTTTGTTGGCTAGGCAAATAAGCTTGTGTTATTTGCACTGTCTCCAGAACATTCCTTCTTAGAGGTGTGTTTACTTTTTACTAACACAAGTTGTGTGGATTTTTTTCTTTGATTCCCCTTTTTCTGAAAAAATAAACAACATACTGCAATAGCTCTTCTTGACAAAAGAATTTCTCAGGCATGCGCCTTAAAAATATTGCAAAAAAGTTATTAATTTATTCCTCCTATAGACCAGTGTTTTTCGAAAACAAGATATATATAGAACACAGAAAATGTCACACTTCTTTCTTCTAAGATAGACATATGACTTATACTTGAGAAACACTGACACTACATGTATTTTATCCATGACCTAATTCTTTATTGTTCAAAAGGTGGATGTTTCTATCCAATTATTACATGTAATAAATTGCTATCCAGTGGATGGCTTGTTTGTTTTCCTAATAGTTCTCCAGTTACATGTGTTTTATCAAAAAGTTATTCTAATATTGAAGGAGACTTGCAATAGTAGTTTGGCAAAATAGAAAAAATTCCAACAAGGCAATAGTAAACACTTACTATAAATGATTAAGAATTATCTAGGATGGAAGATATTGACAATAAGGAGAACAAGAAGTCAGTGAACTAATTTTGCCACTTTTCTCCTTCAGTTCCCAGGATGCAATAAGGCGTTTTCAAGGCTAGAAAACCTGAAAATTCACATGCGGTCCCACACAGGGGAAAAGCCATACCTTTGCCAACATCTAGGCTGCCCAAAGGCATTTTCAAATTCATCTGATAGAGCCAAACATCAAAGGACACATCAAGATACAGTAAGTAAACACCACTCTCTACATGTACTTGGTAATAAAATGAATCAACATGGTATAGTGAAACTCTGCAGCTTCAAGGACACCCACTTCATATGGACACCTCATTATTACGGACAGTTTGCTTTGTCCCTGGGGAATGAAAACCCTTAAATTTTCTCTAAATTCAACCTGCTTAATACGGACACCCGTTAATATGGACGCTTTCTATGGCCTCCTCAGTGTCCGCTTATTAACCCTGTAAGCCCTTAGAGTGATCAGCGTCGAATTTCTCCATGTAATATCACTGCTTTATAAAACACAGTGGTCATAAGAATTAAGGACATGATCACACAAGATGAATCTAATTGATACTTCAACAAATTCTCCCCACTACTTCTATTGAAAACGTATAGGGATAACAAATGGGAATTTGAATTTTGATGTTAGGGTTTAAAGGGTTAATGGGGTTTGACTTTACTGAGATTATTATACAGTAGAACCCTGGTAACTCGAACTCTGAAGGGAAACAAAAAACATATCGAATTATTATATTGTGACATAATATATTTTTTTCTGCTATTTGCAGAAACCATATGCATGTCAAGTTCCTGGTTGTCCAAAGAGATACACAGACCCATCTTCACTTAGAAAGCATTTCAAACAACATGCTAATGGCAAAATGCCACAGCAGAACTCAAATACAAAGGTATGTCTCTTTCTTATGATTTTCAAAACCCATTGCCTTTTGGCCTTGTAAACTGGAACCTTGCTATAATGAACCTGTTCTTGGTATAGCGAGCAATTTTCTTTACCACAGAAATAGTAAAATATAGGGAAAAGAACCTTGATATAACAAAACCTCATTATATAAGTAGCAAACAAATTTTGCCAGTCCCTTGGCCCTTTGTCGTATCGAAGTGCCACTGTAGCTGTTTCATCACAGAACAGATGTGGATTCCTGGCTTAAAGTTGCACATTGATAAACAAAAAGCAGAGACTTTTCATTTAACTGGACTCTTTTAAGCAGCACTGGCAACAGATGGGTGTTCAGAGTTCTCTGGATTTGGCAGAAACCACTGACTTTCACCTTAACCTTAGAACACCACGTCCCCCTATCAGAATTCCAACAATACATAATAATCTTGTACCCCATATTCTGCAAAAGATACAGTTTTTGCTGATATTATTCTACTGAAAAAAATATTCCTTTATTGTCATTTCCGCAATGTTGCGACTTTGAAATTAGGAAAGAAAAACAGAAACAACCTTTCCTACCAATATACTTGTAATGTCCCTATGACAAAATTTAATGCTATATTTTGTTTTTATATCAGACAAAACAGAAAACAAGAGGAAACAGATCATCAAAAAGAGACCTACTGTGTGCAGGGGTGACAAGACCTTTGTCAGATTTTGCCTTTATGGACGAATATCAAGCAAGAAAGCGCCAGAAAATGCTAGATACACTTCGTCAGACAACAGAGAAAAAACTTGCTCTGGAAAATGGTTTTGCTCAAGCACTTCCTGATACTCAAAGAGCTTGGTATGGTCCAGAAAGCATGTACAGACAGTACAATCCACCACCTTCACAACCTGTAGCAAGAGCGAGCACGCCAACTCCCGAAGAGGAACAAGACTTTCGCTATACTCAAATGTTGAGCTCAATGGAAATCCCCACATTTGAGGAGACATTAAAACCACTGATGAGTGGTTATTCAACGTAGCTAACAAGCTTCGCTGACTCAAATAGTCCAAGAACTTGAATTCAAAAAAGAACCCACAAACTTGTACAAACAAGTTTCAATGCAGATGGAAGACACATGGTTTACATAAGCACTGTATATGTCATACTTGTCAGGACCGGACTGTAAATAACAGGAACTAAGAGATTGTTTTGGGGGTCATGCTTGATGAAACCTAAGAATTTCATAAAATGATGCAGATGTGACGAGGCCACTTGTACGTGTCCGTAAAAATTGTTTTTGCTGGAGGAAAATATAAACTGTACTTGCTTGCACACGTGGGGTTCAAGAACAGGAACCCTAGAAGATCAGGCATAATGACTTTCAAACTCAAGGGAAAATCACAAATTAGTGGTAATGGTTACTCATAGGAAATTAGCATTTTTATTATAAGATTTTAAAATTGTTTATACATCCAGCAAGCATGTAAAAGCTATTTGGCACTATTAAATGAAGTTAGTACTATTTTATTGTAAAAGTACTTGAGTGAGAAGATTTGAATTCAAATGTATTTTTCGCTGCTGCTTAAAAAATTAATTTCTAATTTAAGTAAGAATTGAATTTATGGAAGTACATGTAAGATGTGTTGAAAAGTTATTTTGATACAGAGACTTCTGCAATGGTGAAAAGGTACAGACTGTTAAGCTGTGCAATTTAAAGTAATGGAAACTTCCTGGCATAATCCATTGCCTTAATAATGAGCTTTAATATAATAATTAATAATGTTGCATAAAATATTTTCATTGTAGTTAGTTCATAATTATGTCAGGTCAATGTCCAACTTGTTGCTAATCTCATTTTTGCAAACAACATTTTGTACAATCTCTGTTGTTTTAATCAGTAATTTATTGTACCATAAATCATCATACATGCAGTAGAAGTGAGCCACACCTACTTTACATACATTTCATTCATTTGAATTTTTTCAAAATTTTATTATATTCCTCTTTTGTCCTTTCAATTTTCCAGTTCTTTATCACCTAAATAGGTTATACACAGTCATGGTAAAGACACCAACAAAAATAGGGCGTTGTCAATTAAATGTATTCCGGAATAAGAATAAAAGCAATAAGCTTTAAAAGTCACTCATTTTGGCGTTTATTGCTTTGCAATAACTAGAAATCTGCTTGCAATAAAATATCCCAATGTATGTAGAGTTAAGTGGCCCAGAATACAATCAAACACACCCTTAAAGAGACGGCCTTATATCATTAAAAAGTCTGGCTGTGGAAAAACCCTGCTATTGTTGAAACTTTATGTAAATATCAAGCACTTTTTCTTTTACTTCTGATTCATCAGCATGCATAGAAGAACAGCTTGTATTTCTAACTTTTTTATAGTTACTGTTTTGAGACTCGCAGGATTAACATCAGATTATTAAAAAATATTGATAGTATGGTTATATGATAGTTTTTAATAAAACATTATTAATTGAGTGTTACAAGGTCTGAATTTATTTATTTGTAAATTTCTACATGAGGCAGGGGTTTAAAAAAAATTGAGGTAGCCAGCAGGTTAAAATACATGCAGTAACCGACTGTATCAACAAGGGGCTGGTAGTCCACTTTTCCAGGGGTGTCTGGGGGCATGCGCCCTCAGAAAATTTTAAAATTTCAAAGCGCTAATAACTGATTTGTAGGGTTCAGGGGACTAGTGAGTACAAAAGAGAATGTTTTCCATTCAAGAAAATTTGTATGGCTCAAATTTGGCTAAAACTTCAAGTCAAATTTTGATTTATCAGCCACACAATCAACTCTTACAAGCAATGAAAAATGATAATTACAATACATACATTTGCACGTGAACAAATTCTATTTTTGTTACCACATTATTTAAACTAGTTGCTTCTTCTTTGGGGAAAAAAAGTGGCCGATTTCTCTGAGCAAAAGCTATTTGATACTATCTGGCATACAGTTTAGTTGTTGGTCAAATTAAGAAAATTATTTTAACAAAATCACAAGGATGAGGAAAAATAAACACCTTCACCTTGCACACAGACATGCAACAGACAACATACATGTACACAGTTGCTGTACACGTAGGTAGCCGGCAGATGGGAATCATGTAGCATGCTATTCCTATGGGATTTACATTTTGTTTGAAGACAGTGAGTTACTAATAACTACTGTATAGTCATAAAAACTTGCAACATTTGAAGTGCCTTACTGTTACAGAAATGTTTCATGTTGATGATACATTTGGTACATTATATTTTGGTCTAGCTTTGTCTCATGCATTTTAAAGTAATGGGGGTCAAGAATATTATTCATTTTACTGGGTCTTCATACATAGAGTTTAGACATAGGGGCCATTTTATGCATGGCAAATTTCAGCCCAGGCTGAAATTTTGCTCTAGTTAAGCGGGCTTGTTATTTTTTTCTTCTCGTTTTTAAAAAAGTTGATTTTAGTCAAGGCGCAATATTATTTTTGTAAAGTAAATTGTAAATTGCGTGGGAAGGTTCAAGCAATGAGCATGCCCAAGTTCACATCACTCCAGGCTAAAAATTTGAATGTCATTTTGTGAGTTACTTCAGCCTGTTGACCAGGATAAATTTTCAGCCCAAATTGTGTTCCCTTGACTAGAAAATTTATCTCCATGCTGAAACTCTCTTCAAATAATTGCCTAATTGCATAATTGTCTTTCAAGGCCATGCTCTAGCAAAGCCCGGTGGCCCAAGACGCCTAATTTTTGTTCTCGGGCCACTAGAAAATCATATGCTGGACACACTGGATTTCACAAGTTCAATTTACGCTTTGTTGAGCTACACACATTTTCTTTTTTCTCTTCTTTACTTTTTTTTTTTTTTTTTTAATCAATCAAAATTTTCATTCAGTACCCTTAACTTGTATGGTTTACCCTATAGTTCCAGGAAGCCTATAGTTTATAAGCCCCCGGCTTCTATATAGGCTTCCTTGCCTTTACTACATTTGATCTTGTAAATAATTTAGTTGGAATATTGTATATTATCTTTAAACATTGTATTTCTGTATACTGTTGTTATATAATTTTCTGGTTAATGGCAAAATAAAATGAATGAATGAATTATACTATAATTATATGATTCAAGATAATAATTATATTAATAGTCACTCACCTAATTATTGAGACAGTCCATAGATTCCAACAAAGAGCATTGTTTCTTAAGAGGTTTGCACACATTTGAAGAATTAAATACTAAGTACTCTTTAAACAACTCGTCCTCTAAAGCATCTTCACTCTCAGTGCCAAAAGCGTCTGCATTATCGCTGCTCATTTTAAGCTTTTTACTAGGTTGACCATCCATTGCAACATCTTGCTTGTGATCTTCCAAACAGTTTTTGGTGTTTGATTGTAACCAATTCCGCTTTTTAATTTTTGAAGTGAACATAATGACTGGAAGTTCACAGGCCCTGTGGTTTTTCCTTTTTTCTGTTAACTTCTGTATTATTTCTGATCGTGTTGACTTGTAAAACGTCCCCCTTCTCACTTCTAAAGGATTTCTTTTTCTGCTTGCAACAAGGCACTTGGATTTTTTCAGCCAGTCGTTAATAACATCAACAGCCCATCCTTCTGTTACTGTGAAAGCTTTACCAGTATTGAATTCATCATTGAACTATTTTGAGAAAAATAAATATTAAAAATATATAGTAAAAACAAAAATGGGCAGACTGGTTGTTATGAGTAACTGAATAAAAAAGTGTTTTACTTGAGTGACAATGTTTTGGTATGAAAGTATTAATACTGAAAATAATATTTTTACATCTTCTACTGCAGACAGAACTTAGTGACGGAGTCCAAGTCATAATCAGAAGCGTAAGACTTTATGATCTAGTGAAAACAGCATTCAGATTCCACTTTCGACTCCATCACTTATGATCAAGTGAAAACTACATTGTCAGAGTCACAAGCAGAAGCAGAAGAACTAAACCGATCACAAAGCATAGGAATGTGCATTGTCATTGGCATCCTTCTGCCTCTGCCTCTGCTTCCGACCCCGACAATCTGGTTTTCACTTGATCGTAAATGATGGAGTCATAAGCAGAGTCAGAAGAAAATGGAAACCTTCACGCTTATGACTCCGAATTTTGATTTTCACTAGGTCATAAGCACTCTCTGCTTTCAACTATGGCTCTGACTCTGTCGCTAGTGAAAACCCAAGTATAGGTCCTGCCCTGGGATCAACCCCCTTGACCTTCCACTCTGCAGTCAAGCACTCTGCCGACTGAGCCGGTCCTGTTGCATCTTTTTTGTGAAGAACCTTTTTTTTTATCAATCTACATGTAATGTAAGGCTGTGCTTAAAGAAAAATTTTATTGTAAGAAGCCTGAAAGCTCCGGACCCATGAAATAAGGGTGAAAATAATTAATTTGTGTAAGACAGAACTTTGACTGTATACATGAGGTGACCATGTTGACTTGCTGCTCCAGTCAAAATTAGCAGGGACATGAAACCCTGTAAAACAGCTCAAAGTTATGCCCCTTTTAAGGCGGGGAAAGCAGTGCTTGGGGCACACTGTACCTTTCTTAATGACAAGAGAGTAATGACACCTTGCCGCATCTTGGGCATGCATCCCAAACAGTGAAAGAGTCCTTAAATAATATATAAATAATCCTAAAACGTAAAACTTACATCCTGTGGTGCTAGACACAAATTTCTATGCTTTAGAAGCTGCGGAACCCCATATCGAAAAGACACCTGAGTACCAGAGAGATTCAGAGCTGTCAAGGAAGTCAGCTTGAGGAGGTGCTTGACAGCATTGTCAGTAATGTCATGGTTAGATGCCAAATCCAAAACAGCAAGCTTTCCAAGGCCATCTTTAAGGAGGCGCTTAGGTAATGTGAATTTTTTTACACCAGTATCAGATAGGCAGTTGTCTTTGAGGCTCAACTTGATTAACCTAGAGGAAGAACAAAATTACAATGATATTATGTTATTGTATGCATCAGTAAGGGTTTCCATCAAAATACCATTTCAAGGTGAGTTTGAAGCATCACCAGGGTTGGGGACCATACTCCCATATACGCAGTGATATTGTTACCCCTGCGTGCTGCGTCCCTGATGCAGAAGAATCTCCAAAGATTCAAAATAACTCATGGCATGCATCCCGTAGGATGCATAGATCAATTGATCTGAACATGTGTATTTGTAGAAATACCCCATTCGTGTAATTTCTGTGGCAGTTATTTTGGCTGTTAACAAAGCATCTTTCTATTAGCCTTTGTTGTGCTTTAAAAATAAAAGGACTATATTTTAATTTCAGTATACTGTAATACAGAATTTTGGAGTCTGTCTTCAGAATAACTGTCTGGGAATAGAGAAAGGACTTAACACTGACTTGCTGTGGCACAGCAATCAAATGTCTACTACAGTGTACAATGCATGCTTTTAAAAGCATCCTTACACATATCCTACTTAAAGGCAATATGAGTTTCATTCACTTACAGGTTCTTGTATAAATTATATACATAATTCTAGATGGTTTCTTTGGCACTTCGTCATTGGTAATTGGGCATTGGGCATTTGGGTGTATGGAACTCACTGCAATATTATTCTTTTTGCTTGACTGACCACCAAGCAATGGCTTCCCAGTGTGCAATTCCGAAAGCAAACTTCATTGAATCAGCTATATGTGGAGTGATCGCATTTTTTATCTGCTTTACTCTATTAAAAACAGGCTCCACTTATAGCTGTAATTTGTGTGTGGCATAGGAGTTACCATTATACAGCTTCCTTTACATAAAAGCAATGCCAGTATGCAATATGTATCTCATTATTCATTCAAAATATTTTGCTGTTTCTGATTGGCTCCACTCCCCTGGCTAATACTTCATAACCAACTGGCGCTTACCATATTTGGAAGATGTAAGCAATATACCATCGATTTGATGGTATATTTGATTGGAAACAATGTTGGTATCATGGTTGTCAGAAAGTTTTGAAGTAGACGGCTGATTTGTCAAAGTAAGTGGCCAGTCCAGTGATATTCTATTTAAAAAGCACCATCCGTAAAGAAATGCCAGAGAACTGATACTAACCAAATAGGCGGCCATTTTCGCCAGCAGCCGGCTACTTTTGATGAACCCTGTGGTATATTTGAGTGGAAATGAGGCTGCTTGGGTATAGTGAACTAAAAAATGGCATTCACGGCTATTCTAAGATGAAATCACTGAATTTCTGACTTAAACCTGAATGAAAGAAATGCAAGAATATGCAAAGCATATTGCTTGATGGATGTTATCCACTTTTTGAGGAGTATTTGCAACATAAAATATCTGTCTATATCGTGAAGCCATGCCTAGAAATAAGCCAAAGTTTTGAAAAAAGTCTACAACGGGGTAAGTATGTTAAGTCGGAAATTAGCAATATCTTAAATGAACGATAAAACAAGGCCCAGGTGATAACATCCTCCAAGATCTGCATAATTCTTCACATCTTATGAGAGCTGAATTCAGTAATTATTCTGAATTCGGCTCTCCTAAGATGCGAAGAATTATGCAGATCTTGGAGAATGTTATCACCTCGGCCTTCAGCCTTGATAGATAACATCCTTCTCTATCTGCATAATTCTTCACATCCTACTCAGTCTCATTCTATAACTTTAATTGTCACTATACTAAGTGTTCTAAAATAATAATGTACTAATCCTTTAACACACACAGACTCACCAATGAAAATGAGACATATATGACAGCAGCTCATGATTATCCCCAAGTCGACAATGGCTAACATCCATTTCAGTAAGGAAAGTGAAGAATTGCAGAAACTCTAGGTAATTATTTGCAAGAATGTGTTTTGATGACAGAGACAACTTTGATAAGACAAGTTCACCATATGCCTCACAAAATAGCTTTAAATTCTTGGCATTGGACGCAAATCCTTCATTCTCCTGAACTTTATGGAATAGTTCTTTACCCACAATATCTGGGAACTCTGCTAAGGATTCAACCATGGTTATATTCTTGGCAACAAAGTCCAGGCAAATAAGGAAAAGTGATTGAGGATTAAAGTTGTTACCATCCTTAGCAACAGAACAACTTGCTCCTGTGGGTGAAAACATGTACATTGTAGTTGAGATTTTAAAACTGAAAAATAAAGGAAAACACAAACCACTTGTACAAACCAGAGATCATTTTTTCCTCAGAGATCCTTTGAACAAAGTTTTAAATTACTTCTTAATGGGGAAACAGGGGCGTAGCAAGCCCATAGACCTGTAGGACTGCAGGACCTACAGTTTTTGGTTTGATCACTGTTTAAATTATGCATTGTTGGAGTGAGCTAAAAAGCTTAAGAGCTCAAAGTGTTGGTGAGGTCAGTACGTACTAGTCATGTGTGCAATTTTCAGGGAATATGAAAATGAAATTCAGCCAGACCTACAACTAGTCAAAAAGCTGGCTACGCCCCTGGGAAGTGTTTGCTTATGCGAGGTTAAAAAACCCTGACATTTGAACAGGATTCTAACTGAGATTCAAAAAGAAGATAGACGTGTGTAACTATGTCTTTGACATGAGTGCCTGCTGGGTACCCTGATAGGTTTTGGTTTGAGTTTATGATAACAAGTTGTGACTAAAATAAATAATAAGAATGTTCCTGTGTTCAAATTAGAATGCCCATTTCACTTGCCCAAAGGAAAAGCTGGAATTCATGTAATTTTTTTCCCTGTGGCTATATGCCCAGCAGTTGGGAGGGGTCTTAAAAAACTAAATGCTCGGCAGTCAGAAAATCATTTTCTAGAATTTCTGAACAATCCCTTTTTCCAATCGCATTTAGTTTTTTTAAGACCCTTCCCGGCTGCCGGGCATATAGCCACAGCATATTTTTCTGAGCTCTGAAGATAACATACCTCTTTCATGTTTTGAAACAGCTGTGCATGTGCAACCATCTAATTACAAGAACTTTTGCCTTGTAATTATGGGAGGTACATTTTAAAAAGGGCACCTTTGAAAGATCCCCTAGAGACTAACACCATGATTGAGAAGCTATAAAATTTCCTCTGCGAGTATGGTGGCAGAGCTTAGGCCTGTCATTATTGGGACCCTCATCTCTTTATTTTTGTTTCAATCTGTATCTCACCTACGAACTATTTCAAGGATTATTGTCATTATCTAGTCTACCCCAGGTCCGTGGACGAGAAATGGTTGTCCCACATTTAACCCGCTGATTGGGCCCAGTTGTTTGAAGGCCGATTAGCGCTTAAGGTGATTCCCTGGTTTTGCACTATGCATCTCTTACTGCGCATAACAAGATGGCCACCATAAAAAAGAGCATGTGAAGTAACATTATTAAAATGAAGTTGACTGAAGAGAAACGCTATTGGAATTTTTGCTCGCTGTTGTTTCTTGCCGAGGTGAGACTCAATGTGTTGGTAATTTGCATAACGTAAGCAGTACGCGTGTTGCTGAGTTCGACTTCCTCTCGAAGAACCTTGATAGTGGATGTTTAACTTGTGCTTACTCACTTTAATTTTCATTTAAACACTTCCTTTATCACATTGTGTCCTAAATGTGATATCTCGATGTAAATTCTGTAAAAATAGATTTTTTAATACTTTCTTCCCCCTTTCACATACATTCAATTTTGAAACTCACCCCAGTCCTCTCTCAAAAATCGGAGAAAATGCATCTGGTGCGCACTTTCTGCAGCTCTACCGCAAAAACAAGTATGGTGACCCCCATTTTTTATTTCAGGATTTTAATAAAGACAGTGCTTCCTTTCGATGAGAAAAAAATTGGCACAAATCTATGTTCAGTTTTTTGGCAATTTTACTAAATTGTACGGATTGAGCTATAACGGGTCGAAAAGCGAGTGTCCAATTTAATTCTACTTTGGAGCATAAAGTAAAAACAAGGGCATTAAAAGGCATTTTTCTGGTACGTAGGTGGATAAACAATACATTAAAGTCAAATTCTGTGCGATACCACATGCATCATCGAAAAAATCTCTCCTTTTTGTCTAGTTTTGGGCTGCCCTCAGTTTTTGTAAAAGGGTCCTAAATAGCTGTATTTGTCAACATTGTGACGTCAAAACGAGCACGGTGACATCTTCTTGACTTGTTACATCAGTGTACCAAGTTTCATCTACAATCTATGTTAGGTTCTTTTACTAAGGAATCACCTTAACCCAGGGTTAAATTTAACCTGGGTTTCTTTTTCTTTTGCTCAAAAGTATTTTCTCGGATAATTTTCTCTGTTATGTTTAAGAGCATCCAATTATCAACTTGTTGACAACAAGAATTAAACTGAATTTACTTTTTAAGCTTTCATATCTGAATTCAAATTTCGCACTAACCCGGGGTTAACCCAGCTTTGAACAACTCGGCCCAGCTGATCTAACTTGCTACATGTTTAAACACCAAGGTAAGCTTTATCGGCGTCAATTGTTAATGCTCACATGACGAACTATTAAAATTTCTTTCACTCAGTATATTGCATACCTTTGAAGAGACTTATTTTGTAAGAGCAATCATTTTTGTCCGTTATCTTATAACCCGAAGGCGCGGAAACTCGGCCATATTTGTTTCGAGTGTAAACCAAACCAACTTCATTCCAACTGTCAAAAATATCCCTTGAAACACCTTGGAACGCCATTGGGCTTGAACAAAGCTCTCCTGTGACTTACAAAGTAGTGTTTTGCTTATCAGGCTGCATGTTCTCTGCTAGCAGAGGCCTTGTATATGAACATTACGCGAGACACGTTGGTCGCTGCAAAAAATGGCAGAGTTGAACACAGAATGATTTATATTTTCCCGCCATGCTGCGCGTCCATTTCTACCGAGAGGGCATTGGGAACAAAGTTTACCACAGGTAGCCCAGCTCTAAGAGTCTGTTGAGTTTTGCTGTTTTTGGTCTCAAATGGCGTTTGTATGGCAGATAACTACTACAACTGTAAGAAAACAACACAGACACAACTCAATGGATGTTAATGTGCATTTTAACTGTTTTATCGACCTTACGATAAATCCCCATACAAATCCCTATAATTTGGCTTCCAGTAGGCTGTTGTGATCAGTTCAGCCGTGGCATACAAATGGTTACGCATATAGTTGGCTTTGTGGGACGAAGAATCTTCCCGCCATATGTTTTTCTTGTTCATACCAACGGCACTTTTGGTGATCAAAATTTTTCTGCACTTCTACTGAAAAGACTGAAATCGTAACGACATCGACCTGCGGCTGACACCGAAGCATCCAGCCGCACGGGAGAGAAAATGAAAAACCTGGTACCCAGAGTGCAGGGGCACCCAACGAGAATATAGTTCAAAACCACTTAAACATAGAATTGTTAAACGTATTTTAGTATTTAAACGGTAGATATAGGCATATTTTTATACCCTAAAAATTTTTCATCTGTTCGGAGTTCCTAGCTGAAAGTCAAGTGATCCGAAAATTATAGGGATCAAAACTTACCTTTTCGAAAATTTTAGCCAGAAAAAAGCCTCCCGAAAATTATAGGTGACCTTTTTAGGGTAAAAATCCGTTAAAAATGGGAAATTATACCATTTTTTAGATGTCCGAAAATGCTTATATAAATCAGAGCGTTTGGGTCTAGAATAGGGTATCATTTTTCAGGAAACTGATCAGTTGGTTGAAGATTTTATCTAGACTAGGGAAACAGCTACTCTAGGATAGGGGGGATTTGGGGAGTTTACTCTATTATAGGGTAGCAAAATTCAGCTGAACTAGCTCTAGTATAGGTTAAGGGTTCCAGGGTCCCAGCGGCACATCCCCACCCAGAAATTCCTAAAGTACCCCCCCCCCGGGTCGTGCCGGCGCTAACGCTATCCGGTATGGTGTGAACATTGCGCATGCCTAAATCGAGTCTGTAGGAACTGCAGGGCGAGAGTTGACTGCGTTTTCTAGCTTTAAATCTTTCTTGAGCCTGGTTTTTATGATTTGAAGCAACTTGTAGTATGAGAAAATGTTTTCAACTCTCTAAAGAAATTTGTAGCGTTTGCAGCTGACGCATGCGTGAGAACGCTTGTCGCAAAAGATAGGTTTGCCTGCTATAAAATGATTTAAGTTAAAAGGAATTTTAATTTTAATTTTGGAAACGCCGAGATTAGGTTTAAGTTCTGCAAGTCTTATGCATTTCTGATGCAATATTGGTCATAACTTTAATAACATTTGGTGGCTCCTAAAAGAGCCGTTGGTTTTGGCGGTAAACTCACGCGCTGAGTTTACTTGCTGCTGGTATACTTGGTCACAGCCTTCGTTCCTTCACTGACGGCATGCTTGGCCAGTTAACCGGGCAGAAGCAGCCTGATGGCGGTCTGGATCTCGCGAGAGCTGATGGTTGATTTCTTGTTGTAGTGGGCAAGGCGGGAAGCTTCGGTGGCGATGCGCTCAAAGATGTCGTTCACGAACGAATTCATGATGCCCATGGCTTTGCTGGAGATACCAGTGTCAGGGTGAACTTGCTTCAACACCTTGTAGATGTACGTAGATAGCATAACTTTCCTTTCTCTTTCCCCTCCTTTTCTTCTTTTCTCCTGCAGCCTTTGCCTTTCCGGCTTTCTTCTCGCCTTTCTTTCCTGCAACTTTGGGTGCCATGTCTGTACGTAGATCAAAATGGATTTGAAATGCCTGAGGACTCTATGCAACTGATATTTACGGTAAAACAGAGTAAGGATCGATTAGCATACGGATCGAAAATCACGTTCTTTGATTGGCTACTAAACAGGAGTATAGAGCAGCCTTTTCAATGCTTATTATAATTAACCACGTGTTGTATGTCAGAAGAGATGAAAACAAAATTAAGCTTCTTTCAAATAAAACCAAGAGCCTTGATTGGTGCGTTTCGATCCTACCTACTTGGAAAATGAACTATAAAAATGGCTTTCCGCCAATTTTGAGCTATCATCTCACTAGAGTTTAAGACTTTTGCAAACTTTCAATATGTCTGGTCGCGGTAAAGGAAAAGCAAAAGGCACCAAGTCCAAGAGCCGATCATCCCGAGCAGGGCTTCAATTCCCTGTAGGTCGTATCCACCGTCTGCTTCGCAAAGGCAACTATGCTGAGCGTGTTGGCGCAGGTGCTCCAGTGTACTTGGCCGCCGTGCTTGAGTATTTGAGCGCTGAGATTCTTGAGTTGGCTGGCAACGCTGCTCGTGACAACAAGAAGACAAGAATCATCCCCCGTCACCTTCAGCTGGCCGTCCGTAATGACGAAGAGTTGAACAAGCTTCTCGCTGGTGTTACCATCGCTCAGGGAGGAGTCCTTCCTAACATTCAAGCTGTTCTTCTGCCCAAAAAGACTGAGAAGAAACCGAAAGCTTAAATCAGCTTGCATTTACACAAACGGCTCCTTTAGGAGCCACCAAATGCTATAAAAGTCATGACCAATTTCCAGTTTTCAGTTAGAACGCAATTCATGTCTGAGAGTCTAAGCTAAGAAAGAGTAATTTACGTCTCGGAAAGATCAATTTTCCGCCGCAAATTGTTCAATCCCCGAACTTTAATTTTTACTGATTTAGNTACTTGGCCGCCGTGCTTGAGTATTTGAGCGCTGAGATTCTTGAGTTGGCTGGCAACGCTGCTCGTGACAACAAGAAGACAAGAATCATCCCCCGTCACCTTCAGCTGGCCGTCCGTAATGACGAAGAGTTGAACAAGCTTCTCGCTGGTGTTACCATCGCTCAGGGAGGAGTCCTTCCTAACATTCAAGCTGTTCTTCTGCCCAAAAAGACTGAGAAGAAACCGAAAGCTTAAATCAGCTTGCATTTACACAAACGGCTCCTTTAGGAGCCACCAAATGCTATAAAAGTCATGACCAATTTCCAGTTTTCAGTTAGAACGCAATTCATGTCTGAGAGTCTAAGCTAAGAAAGAGTAATTTACGTCTCGGAAAGATCAATTTTCCGCCGCAAATTGTTCAATCCCCGAACTTTAATTTTTACTGATTTAGCGCATACGTTCTACCGTGCGTATCCTGTAGCAAATTGAAATTTGTTGATACCTTTTGAAAGCTAACAGAACCGAGTATTCAAATGTAAATGTTATGAACACTCTTAACTCGAGCGTTCAATTTAACCACGTCAAAGAGAGTGCATTCATTTGCTGTTGTGTTAGTATTAGGAAGGTTGCATACGTAGTATTATATATTTTTTTAAAATATGGCCAGCCATTCATACATGTATTATATGGCCAAACAATAAATAAGTTTCTTTACCTTCAAACTGCAGTTGACGGTTGTTACTTCAAACGATTTTTGCCGACATTCACATTACTGTGATTCTTCAGATTCTTCTCACAATTTTGAGTTGGAATATAACCTATGTATTTAGAGATCAGTCTGTGAATCACGCTTAATAAACTCGGCTCATTTCTTATATATAAACTTTGCCAATTTAGCAAATTATCATTAAGATAGATTGTTAACATAACCCGGTGAAGTTGTTGATGAACTCTCATTGCAGTGTGTTTATTTGCGCTTTTGAATCGAGCGCGCGAATAATTTCCACATCTCGGGGCCACGCGATCGTTGCGCGAGAAGACCATTAACACTTAGTGCAGTAAATTGGCAACGAGATGAAATCTCGCTTCGGCTTAAGAGTTTTGAGAGATAAAAAAGTAAAAGACATTGAAATCAATGTTAATGCGTAAACACCGGATTGCATAGATAATTTTTTTAAGTGCACGCAGCCATCCGTATATGCAGATCTGACTGCAGTGAGACCGTACAAGGTGCATTTTCGCCGCTCTAACATACAAAGTAAGAATGTAAGTTCCTTAGTCTGAAATTTGCCAAAGTTGTTCAAAATTTTGCTGAAATTTTGACAGGTTTTGAATTTGATCGCGACTGGATATTAATTCCTGACTTCAAAATCTTTTGTTTCGAAAAAAGTGCGGTCGTTGGCGATTACTATGATCAAACGGTTTTGCGTTTATGCTACGTCCTTTTTCCACCGAAAAGGAGAACCGAAAAAAACAATGTTGAAGCTAGGCACCGTGAGTACCTCTTAGAATGAGGGACAACAGAGTATTGGTTTATGACTTTCGTAAGATATGGTGGCTCCTAAAAGAGCCGTTGGTTTGTTGTGTGGACAGCAACGTCTAACCGCCAAATCCGTAAAGTGTACGTCCCTGGCGTTTGAGAGCATAGACTACATCCATGGCTGTCACGGTCTTCCTCTTGGCGTGCTCGGTGTACGTTACAGCATCACGGATAACGTTCTCCAAGAAGACTTTTAGAACACCACGAGTTTCTTCATAGATGAGGCCAGAGATTCGCTTGACACCGCCACGGCGAGCAAGACGACGGATGGCTGGCTTGGTGATACCTTGGATGTTATCACGAAGAATCTTTCGGTGACGCTTGGCGCCTCCTTTCCCTAGACCTTTGCCTCCTTTACCGCGACCAGACATACTGACTTGTGACTCTTTTTAAAACTGAGATGATGCTGAAAAAGCTCTTTTCCTGCCCTATATAGCGACAAGGTGGACCTCTCCGAAAACTTAATTGGATTTCTATTGGTCAGATTTTAACAAAAGTAAACCAGTGGGTCCAAAGGGCAATTATATCTTTTTAAACTGTATACACACTGGTGTAATATATGCGCATAATCAGTTTAACAGAGTATGGACGGTATCCCTCATATGCACACCGTACTCGCAGATTTAATTCATTTATTCAAAATAGTAAAGGCAATAAATCTGTACCAGGGTTTATTTCTTTTGCGATGGATGCGAAACGTCTCGAAAAACGCACAACTGAAAATAACATAAACTTTTTGAGAATCAAACTGTCGGCAAAATCCATCGGCTGTTTTCAAAGTATTACAAGGACTTTTTCGACCAATCAGAAAGAACATTTTTCTACCAATCAGAATTCGGCCCGCCAGATATAAATTTCTAGGGAATGGAATAAACTAAATTTTATCGATCAAATCATAGATCTTCTGAGGGTAAAAACATGGCTCGTACAAAGCAAACTGCTCGTAAATCAACCGGTGGAAAAGCTCCACGAAAACAGCTCGCCACAAAGGCAGCTCGTAAGAGCGCGCCTGCCACTGGAGGAGTCAAGAAACCTCATCGTTACAGGCCTGGTACAGTCGCTCTTCGTGAGATCCGTCGCTACCAGAAATCAACCGAGCTGTTGATCCGCAAGCTGCCCTTCCAGCGTCTTGTGCGAGAAATCGCTCAGGATTTTAAGACCGATCTGCGATTCCAGAGCTCTGCTGTAATGGCTCTTCAAGAGGCCAGCGAGGCTTACCTTGTTGGTCTGTTTGAAGACACCAACTTGTGCGCCATCCACGCCAAGCGCGTCACCATCATGCCCAAGGACATTCAGCTGGCCCGCCGAATCCGAGGAGAACGAGCATAAGAGGATCATATCTTACCAACTCAAACGGCTCTTTTAGGAGCCACCATATTTGTAAAAGCAATGATCACAGTACTGCATTATTCTTAAGCCAACGCGTCCCTACCTCTCCTAGGTTTCTTATCACCATTTTATCCATTGCTTGCTTCAAAAAAAATTCTCCACATAAATCGGCAAGAGAATTATAAGATTTATATGCGGNGCTACCAGAAATCAACCGAGCTGTTGATCCGCAAGCTGCCCTTCCAGCGTCTTGTGCGAGAAATCGCTCAGGATTTTAAGACCGATCTGCGATTCCAGAGCTCTGCTGTGATGGCTCTTCAAGAGGCCAGCGAGGCTTACCTTGTTGGTCTGTTTGAAGACACCAACTTGTGCGCCATCCACGCCAAGCGCGTCACCATCATGCCCAAGGACATTCAGCTGGCCCGCCGAATCCGAGGAGAACGAGCATAAGAGGATCATATCTTACCAACTCAAACGGCTCTTTTAGGAGCCACCATATTTGTAAAAGCAATGATCACAGTACTGCATTATTCTTAAGCCAACGCGTCCCTACCTCTCCTAGGTTTCTTATCACCATTTTATCCATTGCTTGCTTCAAAAAAAATTCTCCACATAAATCGGCAAGAGAATTATAAGATTTATATGCGGCAATAATAAACATCTCGATTCTCCCCTGTTCAGAAAGGAGATAAAAGGAATTTTGAAAAGAAAAACATGGCGCCAATTTTGCAACGGCCAAACTGATTTCCTCTCGCGATGTTTGAGTTTTAAGTTCAAGCGACTTCAACCAAAAAGGCAGTAAATTTTGTTTTGGCGTCCTCGAGCAACTGATTCAGCCGACATTTGTAGGCTATCTACGCAGGGGCACCCATCGTCAATTTTCGGAAAATATCTGTTCGGAAGACGATTTGAGATCTAGAATTTTCGGAACATTTGTTGTAAAATTTCTTTTTGCCTGTCTCTCCTAGGATTTTCGAACATCTAAAAAATGGTATAATTGCCCATTTTTAACGGATTTTTAACCTATAAAGGTCACCTAGAATTTTCGGGAGCCTTTTTTCTGGCTGAAATTTTCGAAAAGGTAACTTTTGATCACCATAAGTTTCGGATCACTAGACTTTCAGCTAGGAAATCCGAACAGATGAAAAATTTTTAGGGGATAAAAATAAGCCTATATCTACTGTTTAAATACTAAAATACTTCTAACAACGCTATGTTTAAGTGGTTTTGAACTATATTCTCGTTGGGTGCCCCTGTCTACGCGACTATTGAGCTCGACGCTCGATCCTCATGGATCTATTTTGAAGAGTTTTCCGACTCGTTATCTTTTGATCAAAGCCTTATACAAATCGGCCTTATAAAAACAATTAAACAACCGCCATTCATTTCTTCTTGGGCGCAAAACCCTTCGCGAGGCACTGCGGTGCGGAGTCACTGTAAGCCGAACTTGGCCACTGACGAGCCCTTTTGCAACGCGAGGATAACGTAAAAGAAATAAATCATTTTGAACGTTTTTTCAGGTTTGTCATGTTTGCAAGACAAACTAAACATTCCTGGACGGCTTGTGGCCTTGCAATTATTCCATGGAGATCTATGTCTATATAGGAGGACTCACTGACAGATATTATATCATAAATTATTTAGATGTCTTCGGGTACTCTGCCAACCACTCGATAAAGTTTTAACTTAATTAAAATTTTTGTTAGCAGAAAAATTGTCTGGCAAACATACGGTCCTTTGTAAACCAAAGAACTTATCGATTTGCTCTTCGTTGCTGTTTTTATTTTACACTTCAATTGTTCGCCAAAACGAGGAAAATCGACGCCATTAAAATTTTACTCACAGCTTTGTTATCGTTTAGAAATGAGAATTAGAAATTAAACATTATGTTCTCAACATAACTATTTCATAGGGAAACGGTGTCATATAGGAAACTGCTTTTTCCAAATGAAATTCAATTACAAGTATGAATAGTTTATAGTCGAAATTAAGTCAGTAACTTGCGCCTCCGGCCAAGCCGCCTTTTATGTGTCTCAGAGAGGCTGGAAAGAGCTAGGGAAAAGGCTTGTTATTGGAATACCCAAGAGGAAGCTTCTGCGCAATAGCGAGACATGCAAAGTTAACTAAGCCTGTAGTAAATTGAGATTTTTCCAAGTATTTCAATGTCCTCTTATTTTTTCTCTTGTTGTATTTTTTAATTAGTGTGCAGATTAGTATGATTATGTTAAATTTTCTAAAACAACAACTTTCTGACAACTCACGGTCCGGAATAACTGGTGGCAGCTTTGATACAAACAGGAGGTGTTTCATTAACATTAAGAACATTCATATCACTAATGGAGTAACATTAAGACCCTGTTTACATGGAGTGGGGGACCCCGGTCTAGTGGGGTAGGCTTCTTTTGTTTTGTGTCCCCCAGAGCGTGAAAACAAAAGAAACCAACCCCACCAGACCGGGGTCCCCCACTCCATGTAAACAGGCCCTCAGTTTATTCATACTCGAATACATGCCCACAAAAGAAATAATTTATTTGATGAATTCCTTTTTGCTACCTGTAATTAAAAATGTGCCAAAAACGTCTCCTTTTGCCTTGATTTAAAATTCTCAGTTTTAAAAAAACTCTGTCAGTCCCCAATCCATTTGGACCATAATAACAGTATATGCATGCTTTAAAGTCATTATCAATTTGCGTCGGCGTGTTTTCCAGTCTTGAATAGGGCGTCATCCGAAAAGAGATTATGACCATCTTCTAATTTTATGCCAATCATTTGATTTATAATTCGAAAGGGTTCGTTTATAATTTGCTCCTTTTTCTATTAACTCAGACCTTTGTCAAAAAGGAAATGAATTCAATGACCCCATAGTAACCGTGGTTTTGTTTATACTTCCTGTTTTTAATGCTGTTGAAAATCTAAAAGTTTCGAATAAGGTAATGAATTGCGTTTCTCTGTTGCAATACGCCAGAACAATGAAAGATTCAGAAAAACGTTTGAACAGTCCGTTAAGACCTACCCTAGCAAGACAAAAACTGAAAAGAACAAAGACTCTTTCAGAGTAAATTGAAAGCACAGAAATATGGGTTAAATGGACTGAAAACGACAGGAAACTCTTTTTAATGAGTATTTACAAAACTTAAACTTCAAATAACTTGGGTGGTGCTAATGATAGCCAGCTGAAAATCAAAAGGTGGAAATGTGGCGGGCTACTGATTCGCATTAAAGAAGGTTTATCGTACATATTTCAAAATGATTCAGTAACAAAAGCGAAAAAGATTAATGTTGATCAGTCAGTTCTGATAGGAAAACACCTTACAATTACGATTCCATTTTGTAAATAGAACTCGCACTTACTTTATACAATGGTGCAAAGCAGCTTAACCAATTACATCACATGAGGCAATTCTGAGATTGGCAACTTTACAGAAAAAAAGCTTTGTGAATAATTATGAATCGCGAAGGTGATATATTATCAGTTTATACAAATCAGTCAACGGAGTGACTTTGTGTAACATTTTTTAAAACAGAGTTTGAATAAATGTGCCGGAACAGCTGAGCAAAGCCGGCAATGAAATGTGGGCCTTTAAAGTTAGGCTTGCACCAAAATGTTATTAATTATTAGTTGGCACCTAGAAATTACGAAATTTAAACTTATATTTAAAATTCAGTTCGTGACTTATGAAGAGGGCCTTGAAAAAGCCATTTACACGCAATGGGCATGAAAACTTAATAAAGTGAAAACTGTAAACGTATATTCACCTTGTTACTAATTGAAGACAATTATCACATCCGAGTTATCTGTATAAAACAAAAAAATAGGACAATTTCATAATCGGGGTGCATGGGAGGAAAAAATAAACCTGGTCTTGCTTTGCTGTCATCATTATTATGATACTTTTTTTCATCTTTGATTTCTAGTTTCGTTTGTTGTTTGTGAAATTTCCATATCTGCGGGGTCTAAACGCGATCTGCAAAACACTGCCATTAATGAACTCCGAAACTGCTTTACTCGCCAGCCATAGAGAAAAGGGTTTGCAATAGCACTGATGCAGAGGAGAAAATCGCTAAACTCTAGGCATATAAAAAACCATGTGGTTTCAGTACAACTCTCACAGTTTGCCTTGATAATTGTCATTACAAGATAGGGGATCTGTGTAATTACCAGAGCAAGGAGAATCAAAAAGGCTGTGAAGGCGAATTCTTTCTCACGTTTTAGGCGCTTTAGATGTTTCTCATCTTGCTGCGTCGTCTCGTCTCCGCCGGGAAAGAGCTTTCTTCTTCTTCGAATAATGCGGTAGATAGCAAGGTAAATAATTCCAGTAGCCGTTAAAGCAAAAGTGACATGCAAATGGACATCTACCGTGTCGTAAATATCATCAGGGACTTCTGCTAACTGAATAAGACTAAACGCGAGACAGTACACCCAAGCACACACAACCACGGCGGCAGCGTGAGTGTTCTTGATGGAATAGCGATAAAAAATTGGACAAGCGACTGCGATGAGCCTGTCAACTGACAAAGAAACGACCAACATGGTAGCTGAGTTATCAATAAAATAGTCCATGACATAATCGAAAGTTGTTTCTCCGTCTTCGTCTTTGACGCAGTAAAACGCTTTCTTTGCCGAAACGGGGTCACCAATGGCGCCAAACAGAAAATCGGTGGTAGCTAATCCCGTGATATACACTGCAAATGGTCGCCGGAAGCATTTTAGCGGATCCTTGAATATGACGAACAGCAATAGGCCGTTGATTGTAACCGTAAGAATTGATGCAATTAGATATAAGGCTCCTACTGAAGCACAAACGCCGATTCGGACACCGTCCGGGATTGTGGCTGTTTCGTTTTCCATGCTGTCGTGTGACTGACCAAATCGACGCTGTAGAAGTCTTTTATACAGAGAGAAAAATGGCACTGTAGGTGTCGGTAACTCGCATAAATCATTTAAGACACTGAGCATAGCTTACGTATACCAAATATTGAGTAGCGCACAGACAGCAGCAACGTATTTGCAAGTTAAACAAATGATTTTTATGCTAGCTGTTGAACATTGATTGACAAAAAGATCCGCGTTAGCCTTTATAAAAGTGAAAACGCAATTTCATTTTAGCATTTTTACTTAAGTATGTCTCATCAAAATGACATTGACTGAGGTAATCTAAAAATTCATCGAGATGAATGGTTTCTTTTTTATTTGAATTTCCAAATAGGAATTGGAAATTGAAACCTTTCTCTGTAGCTTCCGTCCGCCATTATCCGCTAGAAGATTTGTTCAACACATTGACAATTTTTCCCAAAAGGTATAAAGTCGCCGCCCGCGTTAACTGAGCAGTGAAAGCGATTCAGAAGTTCAGTAGTTGTATGACTTCTCTATCGAGAATTTTCTAATTAAATTTGTTTTTCAATCTATAGGAGCCCTAACCGAGAAATTTGTAACGTGTATCCTAGCTAAATCTGGGCTTACGGAACTATGGCGTAAGCGAAAACAGCAGGCTTTTAAATTTAACTTCCCGCAAATAAAAGGTTTCTTATGAAATCACATCACGTCAAAAAATTACCCAGTGTTATATGGGCTTGTTTGAATAAGGTAATGGTATATCTGGCAGATTGTAGGCTTGTGTATAAGATAATTTCTTAGAGCAATTTTAATCCTGCTGCGATTTGTTTTTACAAAGGCCACGAGCCATAGTTTTCCACATGAAGAAAAATCGCTTCATGACTTAAGTTTTTATAGAAAACTGGTTCGGTATTGAGCAATTGGATTGTTTATAAAGTTTTCTTTCTTTCTTCTTTTTTTTTTCGTTGTTTAAAAGTAAAACGGTAAAAAATTTATCGGAGTAAGGTATTATTATTTATTTTCCTTATGAAAAGTAACAATTACAAAGGGAAAATCTAATTCTGAATTATTTTTGGAGCAATTCAAGGACACAAGGACACATTGAAATTTTAAAATGCTTTATTGAAAGAGATACACAAAATACATTTAAATGCGTTTATTAATTCGAGCTCGTTCCTCTCACCTGTAGAGATTTCAAGAGATAATATTTCATTTCCTTATGAAGTAACGACCAGTAACCGCTTTTTCAATAGTTCTTGCATAACTTATCAATGTCACGGACAGAGCAAACTAAACATGTTATTGCGGGCGGCTTCACACGCTAAATATTGCTAAACTGGATTGATATGTTCAGCTGTATGTTTAGAAATTAATAAGAGTCTCTCATCTAACTAACGCCTGCACTGAATTTCCAATTTTCAATGTCATTTTTGTGACTGAATTATATTTCATCATTTCACACAACGGAGCTGGTTTTGTAAAACTCCACTATTCCATTCAACAATTTCCTGTTCGACCATTCATGTATTTTTGCGAAAGTCAGTTGTCATCTTTTCACTCTCTCGAGATATCGAGCAAAAATACTTCGTTGCGATAAAAAGACTTGGAATATGATCTTTTTCTCACGCCAGGCACGTGTGTTTTGACATTTAAAAATATGATTTTGACTTTAACATCTATCATCAACCCTGATTCTATGGTGAGTCCAACCGGCCGAGACCTACGAGTCGGAGAGTTTTCAGCAAATTAAAAGCTTTTAAAATACTATTAACACCTATTTTTAGAATTGGTTTCAAGAAACTTTAAGGCCTGATTTTATCGTAAAAACATTTAAACGTCATTGGACTTCAAAACCAAATTTTACAAAGACAGCGCTAACTTCGTACCCAGACCTTTGTAAGACAGCAGACAAGAGAATTTAGAATTGTGGAGAAGCATCAATTTGCTTGCTTGCTTATGTATTTTCTAACGTTCGAATTAGCAAAAAAAAGGCAAGAAAATAAAGGCAAGAATTAGAGTCAGAAAAAAAAAAAGAATAAAAATATTTCCGTGCCCCGTGTGAGGATCGAACTCACGACCTTCAGATTTCTACTTTAGATTATGAGACTGACGCGCTGCCTACTGCGCTAACGAGGCCGGGTTAAATGAAATGGCGAAATTTTTATATATATATTCCTCAATCTTTTTTGGAAACAGAAATGAAATGTGATTTTGTAGTTTATGCATACAGCCGACTCTAGTAAAGCTGCTGATTCATTTTTCAAATACTAGAAATGGTAATCTTTAAGCTTAATTTGTTTTCAACTTATTTCATGAATAATAATCTATTCCCCTGAGAGCCATTACACACTCACACTCACTTGGTCGCACGAAGGCGGGCAACCACTAGATCTTTCCACAGCCTCTTATCAGCCATCAGTGCAGCAATCTCACTTGCTTCAAATGCACCAGTATCCCTCTTAAGAGTGTCAATATAGGTAGTATTCGGTCTTCCTCTCCCGCGATGGCCATGTGTGGGCTCTCATAGGACTAATTTCTGGGTACTTAGCTCTGGATGGCGATAACAGTGTCCCGCAAGTTGTAGCCTACGAGAAGCGATTTTGTTGCTGACTGCTGGTAGATCTCCGTACAGTTGTTGGTTTGGTATGTGGCTGCTCCAGTGGATGTTTAAAGCTTTTCGCAGCATCCTAGTGTATGTTCCATCCAACGACTTTTCTTGTGCTTTTGACAGAGCCCAGCTCTCGCACCCATAGAGTAAGATTGATTCGATGGTGGCTATGAAGAATCTGATTTTCAAATCTTTACTCATATTGGACTTCCATATTTTCGTCATACCATTCAAAGCTCTCCAAGCCTGCGCTTTCCTTATGCTGATGTCTTTTTCTGAGTTATCAACCCATGACCCTAAATATTTGAAGTCATCCTTCCATTCCAGATAAGTACCATCAAATGTATGTAATGGTGTTCGATCATCAATGTTATAAGCAACTGATTTTGTTTTCTTAGCATTCAGTACAAGGCCAACTTTCTTGCACTCTTTTTCAACTGTTAGCAGTAATTCCTGAGCTTGAGCTATTTCATCCGACAGTAGCGCCATTACCCTATTCATTATTCATTCAAAATATTTCTCCGTTTATGATTGGCTAGAATCCCACGTATAATTCATCATAACCAGCTATTGTCGACCAATTTTGGATGAATTTTGCGACATGAGAAAAATGACGTCAATCGTGCAGCAAATTGCCAGGATTAATGAACCCGCTAACCGAGAAGACCTGGAGACGAGATTGAGTTGTTCAGGGTATAGTGACTACAAAATGGCGGAACATTTCACTCGTTTCACGAGGATCGGAAGAAGTAGGGGAACTATTAGCTACAAACTTAGCAAGAACAGCAAGAAGACAACTCGACGGACGACATCTGCTATTAGAGAATATTTGCAGACCTGAGCAACCCTTATTTATCTCCTAAATATGCCGATAAACATGCACCCTGAACTCCCGGCCGGCGATAATTCTAAGACAAAGGTACTGGCCAGAATTCTTGGTGGGTGTGCCGCTCGGTTCTCCAAATCCTGACCCTATTTCAGACCAAAAAATGTCATTTTTCACACCTGTTTTCAGACCTGGCCTATAAGCAGGAGCCTCTAAGAAATTATGTCATCATTACTAAGATAAGAACACCAACACAAAAGATTTCTTAAAATTCATTTCGAATTCGCAGATTTCTCTTTTTTTCTTACTCATTTAGAATTGAAATGATAAATATGTTCATACAGTGCCCCTCGAAAATCATACCCGATTCCAGACCAAAACGGGCAAAGTTTATACCCATTTTCAGACCAAATTAACAAAGAGACGAGACGTCTGTACGCAGGAAAAATAAAACGGTGAAAAAACCCTAGTCTAGCACATACCTATATGGCTTATATAAGGGACTAACTCCGCGGGGATGAACTTTAACACCAATGGTGGTAAGCATGTTTTTGTGTTATTTCGCGCGCGGTTTCCACGAAGCTGAGGAACTCAAGACTACGTATTTTCAAGGGAAAAGGCAGGAATTTGTCGGAGAGACCTACCTCTCCTTATTAAATTTGAACGTTTGGCTTACACGCATACTATGCTACTCGAATCCAGATTTATTTTTGCAAAAGAAACAAAGAAAAATTTTTTCAGTCTAGTAATCTCGAGTTCTGCAGCTTCGAGCAAAAACCGCGCGCGAGAAAAAACACGTTCTTCACAAAATCAAAGAGAACTTACTTTATATTTGCCCCACCCCCTTACCCCCGGGACTGAGACCGCTTTAAACTCTCTTGCTTCAAACAATTCTCCACCCCCGGGCCCGAAGGGCTGGACTTGTCCCGGGGGTTGCCCGCGGGGATGGTGACAGGACTAATGAAACCATACATAACTGCAAAGCCCCCACGGGCTAAAAGGCGTTTTCATTCACATGGCCAGCAGCGGTCGAAGCTATGCAAATTTATTTGAGTGAAATAAATAGTTTCATGAGGAAAAGATTCAGCTCTAACAGGACTGGTTTGGGACACCAATATGACCGCCGTTTCCTTGTATTAGGACACCATATGGTGGACATGACATCCATGTGAAAACTCTCTATAGGAAATGCTACTCCGCCTTTGGCTCCCCAGTAATCGCCTGTGTTAGTTTTTCTTCTTCGTATTTTCTCTCGTTCAAAAAATTCAAGCGCCACTGATCACAAAACCAGCTTCATTTTAGAAATTGCAAATTGCTTACAGAGTGTATCAGTGTATATAAAACGCGAGTTAAGTGAAAATAAAATGCTTCGTTCAGGCTCCTCATTTCTTAATCATCTTCCTGTTTTATCATAAAAAACTTTCAGTTTACACAAAGAAAACTTTTGAATTTTCACATTTAAATAAACAGTTTAGAGATTGGCAGTCTCTATTAATTATTTCCTAAAGATGTGCTTTGTTGTTCGCGAGTATTCAGCAATTCTCGAATGAAGAACGAAAGGATTAAAAGCAGAACTCAGATACAAACATATCAATGTGACATTATGTAGGGTTACGAACCACTTTCTGTTTTGACACCCTTCCCATGTAACTTCGATGATTCTAACCGCAGAGAACATAAATAAGGAAATCAAGATAGGTAAAAGAATGCTAAAAACGGTATTTAGAAGTTTGTAGACTAACTGGGAATTCCTCTTTCTCGTTTCGAGGGCGAATAACTGAGCAACGGGAAGACCACTGTTTATCACAGAGACACGAGCTTGGTTTTTGAAATTTCGCAGCCTCACAGCGCAAGAAGCTAAAATCCCACACGAGGGAAGAAAAATAAACAAGGGTAGATAAACAAAGTAAAAGAAAGTCTTGGAAACGGGTAGCAATAAAAGGAGACAGAAAGCAAAGCAGATGGTTCCTGATGCGAAGTTTATGGCTTTGGCACGGTTCAAAGTCAGCCATTTCTTGTTAAGGCGGGGTCGTATTATAGCAATACATCGTTCTCCTGAGATAGCAGACAGAAAAAGTGTGGCAGTTCCGATGTTGAAATTAAGCAACGCTTCTTCCAGGTCGAGCACTGTTGAAGGAATAAAGATTTCCGGGTGTTCTCCACGAAGAATATTCAAAACGCCAATGTAAGGCAAAACTACAATTCCTGCGAAAAAATGCGCCATCGTCAAGGCAATGTTGAAGACATTTGTGGGCTTCTTGAAGCACTTTAAAGGATCTCGTTTGACGACGTAAAGGATATAGCCATTTCCTAGCGACGCAATGACCGCAGTTACAAGGAAAAAAATGCCAGGTATTGTATAAATTTCCCTGTTATGGTTTTTCATTTCGCCGATGGAATCGAACAATAAGTTGGCTTTATAAAGTAGACCAATTTAGGCTATTACAAATTTCTTTAACTTTGTCCCTCTGCCAAGATTTCTCATGAATGAAATGAAAAACTAAAATACAGAGTCAATAATCCACTTTTTGTTTTACCAGCTTACTGTTCTATCGCTGTTGTAAAGAAATTCTATTTTAAGGTTGTCATAAAATGCAAATATTGCAGATGTCTAAACCCTTTGATAGACAATTCTCATTTTGCGAAAATTGGGAATACATTGAGAATTCCTTTATTTTATTGAAATTTTCCCCAGTGAACAGCGGAAAAGATACTATGGAACAAAAGGACCACCACTCCGCGACCGGAAAGATCATGTGGCAATGCTATTTTGCCTTTTGAAATATATTAAAAGGGCTAGAACAATATAAGTATCTTGACTACCGAGCTGTCAAGGTTTATTAATACAATCCTGATGTAGAATAAAAGCTGAAAATAAACCAGAATTAAATAATATACTTACCACGAAGATAAAATCGAAACAAACCTGTCCTCGAGAACTGTTGTGAATTGTTTTTTTTTTCATCAGAACTCTTCAGATAAAAAACTTGGAATAAAAAATTGCCTGTTAAGAATTTTAGAGGCCTTCTTTTTTTCAAAACTTTGCATGTATTTCAATTTTAAACGTGATACGTGTTCATATTTAAGTAAACAAGCGCTATTTCAGAAAATCTGCGGGTAAACTTTGACGAACCACATGACCCAAATGCTAGCAACAGCTGAAATCGAGGCGACGCTGTTATACACACGAAGAGAATTCCCTTCGATTTCCGACAGCTTAGTCGAAGGAATCGAACAACAAACTTACACCAAACATTAAAAATAGTACAGTCAAGCGACAAGCGACATCTCGTTCCCAGATCTCTTGTCGAATAGAGTTCTGGGTACGAGTTTACACGTTACCCAGATTCCACAGTGGCGCCAAAAAGGGGAAGGAACCTCAGAGGGAAAAGTCCTTGCTCTTCCATGCGAACGAATTTCACATCTCTCCAGATCGTAGTGCACTACGCGGGAAAAAAGAAAAGAGGTCTGTTGCAATAGTGCGTGTTCCCTTGCTGAATTTGGTTTGTGTTGAATAAGCGCCACCACCGACCAAGCGTAGTTGAGCCATAGAAAGTTGAACAATAGGCTAACTAGTAAACAAACTTTTGAAATTAAAGAAGCCCTAAGAGATTCAGTGCTTTCCAGTTACACAAACCATCCAGTTAAAGTCACGTACATAAATATTTAACAACTAAAATCTCTTCGTTATTTGGGAACGTATAAAATATGTTTGGTATTAGTTAAGCAAAATCAAAAGAGTCTCTCTTGGAAAAATGGCAAGGGAGCGAGGTAGAACGAGAGAAGAAATCATCAGTAAATTATCGAAGGATTTGGGCTTTAATTGAAGAAACCGAAAAGAGCCGACGTTAGCCTTCAAGGAATGTGCATAAGAAACATTGCGAGCGAGATGAGCGATGCGCACAAAAGGGGGGAATCTCTTTTCGCGCGCGTACACCTCCGTCGCAGCCGGTGCCATGTTCTTACTTGCGCGTTTTAAGGTGGCTTGTCATCATGAATTTCATACAAGTTTCGACATAAACTGTACTCGCTTTCCCATTTTGTTTTATGAGGCATATGGAGTGTTTTATGTTTAAATAATGCCTGGGACTATACTCTTGGCTACTGCTCGCTCCCTGATGAAGGCCGAGCATAGCTTGCAGAGCAGGCGTACTCTTTTCTAACAAAACCGCGATCCAGTGGTACATTGATCGCGGCCGCCGCAAACACCTGCCTCACTTTTACACCAGTAGAGCAATTTCACTCACGTTTCTAGTATATATATATATATTAATTCAATGGAACAAAAAAAGCGCGTACATAAGAAAAGAGTTCAACTCAGGATTGTCTTGGTACAAAAACATGGCAGCCGTTTCATTGTTTTGGAACACCAATATGGCCGCCGTGATGTCATGTGAAAACGCCTTATACGTATAGGCGAATCTTTACTGACGTCATTATACACCTATCAAAGTTAATCTGGAGGAGGGAAGGGATCCCCCCGGGGCCCGGGGGGTACTTTAGGAATTTCTGGGTGGGGATGTGCCGCTGGGACCCTAGAACCCTTAACCTATACCAGAGCTAGTTCAGCTAAATTTTGCTACCCTATACTGGAGTAAACTCTCCAAATCCCCCCTATCCTAGAGTAGCTGTTTCCCTAGTCTAGATAAAATCTTCAACCAACTGATCAGTTTTCTGAAAAATGATACCCTATTCTAGACCCAAACGTTCTGATTTATATACCCTATCCTAGAGAAAACTGCTTGAAAACCATACCCTTCACATCGGCACATACCTATATAGCCCATATATGGCAGTACCCCCCCGAGTGGGGAGGGAGGCCGGAGATTTTCTTATTTAACCTTATTATATTCTTCATTTATCTTTGGATGTAAATTTTTCTATTTCCTTTTTCATTTAACCTTATTGTATTGTTATCTCAGTTTGCTGTAATCAGTTTTTGCCTTATTTAATTATTTTAAGTTTGTTTTCGTCTTTCCCCCGCCTCGATTAGGCTTTTATGCTATTAGGGGTGGGTAAGTTCATTTCCTGATTTCTTATACCTGTAACTTTTTAACTGAGTTTGTATTTACTTTGTATCTGAACTATGTACAATAAAACTGTTGTTTGTTTGTTTTGTTTTGTATTTTGCGTCAAATGCCCTGCCCCAAGGCCATCATAATTGGTTAAAAGAGAACAAATTCCCCACCCCTCCAACTAAGTCTAGAGGTCAAATGTATTTCATTGAAAGAAGCAACCTACCAACTTTTTTGAGAAAGCTGCTTCCGTTTATTTTTAAATTAACAATTTTCTTGCCCCAGCGAAATGCCAGCATAAAGAGGGAATGTTTTTCCCCCTGCACAGTTTAACGAAGTTGCAGCTGTTAAACAAGCAAATTTAGTTAAAAGAAGTTTAACTAAGTGGAGTTAAAAGAACCAGAATTCGAGTTATCGGGGTAAATTTCAGTCACTTTTTAATCAAGGGCAAGGAAATTTAGTTCGAGTTGGCGGGGAATTCGAGTTATCCGAGTAAAAATGACTGGAAAGTGGGGTCAGAAATCCAAGGGAAATTGGACTTAGTGCGAGTTAGCGGGGGGTTCGAGTTATAAAGGTTTTACTTTATTTACAGTTTTGCTCATTAGCATACGACTTAACCCACAGAAAGCGTCACTGAATGCACGAATAAAATTCAAAAGTTTATAAAAGAGTTGGTTATTTTGAGAATTTGTGCAATTTTCCGCGCTTTACAAGCAATAACAAAGGAAATAGCAGCCATCGAAAACTGCGAAATTGCTGGGTGGCTTGTACAATGTACAATTCTTTCTAAAGTTTAGAGTTTTCAAAAATTATTTCCCCAAAACTATTCGGTATATTGGGCTCATATTTGCGCAGATCACTGAATTGTTGAAAGGTAAACAAAGAGTCGCCTTTACTCTAACACCCCACGCCGCATATCACTGGCACAATAACTCAACCGTTGGAAACCGATGGAGTATAAATTTCAACCAATTTCATAGTCAAACGCAGAAAAATAAAATTCTCGCATAACCATCATAAATTTCTTCAGCCTCTGATGTTGTTTCAACAGGGACCTGCTTGTCGGTTAGCACGAGAAAAACCCTATTTTTTTCAATTCTCCGTGAACAGTGATTGAATAAATTCCTTTGAAGACGAAAGAGATATTTTCATTTGGACATCTGTTGCGTGGACGAGCATGTAGGTATTCATAACGTGATTTATTGTTCGCATTCTCAAACACTGCACACGTACCTGGCTTTCGTCGTATTCACAGAGTTCTTCAGTCGAGGTTGGGCTTCTCTCGTATAATCACCGTGGATAACGAAACCTCCACAGTCCCTGATACTGTTCGAACAGGAGTCTGTTATTTGGTTGCTGCTTTGTATTTACTTGCATCTACTCTAACAGTTACGGCAAATGGCCTATTACTGCTCGTTATATTCAAGGATCCACTAAAGTGCTTCAGGCGACCATTTGCGGTGTATATCGCAGGACTTGCAACCACTGATTTTCTGTTTGGTGCAGTCAGTGACACCATTACAGCCAAGAATAAAATTTATTGTGCTTTGAACGAAGACGGTAAAACGACTTTTTACTATGTCGTGGATTATTTCATCGATAACTCAGCTACCGTGTTGGTTGTTGCTTTGTCAGTTGACAGACTTCTCGCAGTCGCTTTTCCAATTTTTTACCGCTGCACTGTCAGGAATACTCATGCTGCCTTCGTGGTTGTGTGCGCCTGGGTTTATAGTCTTTCGTTTAGTTTAATTCAGCTTACAAACGTTCCTGATGATATTTACGACACTGTTGACGTCCATTTACATGTGACATTTGCATTAACAACAACGGGAATTATTTACTGCATCATCTACTGGACTATTCGTAAAAGTAGGAAGTTTTTCCTTGGCGCTAAAGAAACTGTAACGCGCAGAACTAATCAACGCTTGAAAAGTCTTAAAAGCGAGAAAGAGTCTGCTCTCACGGCCTTCCTTATACTGCTTGCTTTGGTTATAACACAAATTCCTTACCTTGCGATGATTGTTCTCCGGGCAAACTGTAAGAGCTGTCGCGTAACCACATGGTATTTCATTTGCCAGGAGTGCGCTGATTTCCTTTTATGCGTAAGTGCTATTGCAAACCCTGTCTTGTATGGCTGGCGAGTAAAGCAGTTTCAAAGATCGTTCATGGTGGTTTTCTGCGGAAAAAAGAGCCGTAATACAGAGCTTGGAAAGTCACGAAATACTACTTTTGAAAAAACCTTGGAATTAGATTGAATACTGTACAGACATTGTGTTTTAAAAGTTCAAAAACATTATTTATTCCATTTTAATTTTCTCTCTCCTTTTCTTTTATGTTCAGCAAAAATTTTCACGTGAGTCTCCTAGGAAACCAGTTTTCGTTTTTATTTTTCTTTCCATGTAGGGATGAAATTTCTTTAGTTCTCTAACAGCAGATCAAAATAATTTTTACGCTTGAGGACGCCGGGCATTAAAAAAGTTTTCTTTTGCGTCAGTTTTTTTACCGGCCTTTTTCAGTGCAATTCTTGACTAGTCACCACGATACCGCAAAGTAAACTTCATGCAACCAGAGATGCGACTTAACGGCATTTTTTGAGAAATCACAGCAAACTATGTATTTCAGAAGAATTGCTCTAAGGACTGCAATAACATTTTTGCCAGCTTACATCTGCGATAAAAGTTGCATAAAAAATCCCACATGTAAACAGTGTTAAGCGTGCAATGCATCATTCTGCCGAGATATTTTCATTTCTAGAAGGATGCTCTCATTACATGTACTTCAGCTATCAAATGAATATAGGAATGTTTTAAAATTAAATTTTTTTTATTTGTTCTCCTGATCTTTACATTTTATGACATTTATGCCTGAAAATTGACCTGTAAGAATTGCCCCCTTACACAAAGCCAAGGTGCAAGGCTGGAGAGGAAGGGAAGGCGAGAGTTTCATCGTCCTTTCCTTCCCATGATGTGCCTCGGGCTTTGCTGGGTTCCAGTACCGTGCATTATCTCGCGCAGCGCTTGCAAGAGCTTTTTTACAAAGGGGTAAGAGCTTGCGCCTTTGTTTTCGATCTCAACGCGTCCGTGCCTTTCGTTTGTTCATTATGAAAAATGAAACTTGGACAGTTTCTAAGGCTACAAGAATCGGAACTTGCTCATCGATAGGCGTTTTATTTCTCGTGGCATCAGTTCTTACAGTGACAACAAACGGCCCTTTGTTGTTGGTGATATTCAAGGATCCACTGAAATGCTTCAGACGACCGTTCGCTGTGTTAATTGCTGGGTTAGCGGTCACTAATTTCCTTTTCGGTGCAGTTGTTGACACCACCGCCGCAAAGAATGAATACCACTGCGTTCAAGACACCGATGGAAAAACCAAATTTGCCTCTGTAGCGGATTATTTCATCGATAACTCAGCAACTTTACTAGTTTTTGCTCTGTCAGTTGATAGGCTCCTCGCTGTTGTTTTTCCATTTTTTTACCGCTACTCCGTGAAGTCAATCCACGCGTGCATAGCGGCTGTTGCCATTTGGAGTTTCTCGCTTGCGTTCAGTTTAATTCAGCTAACAGAATTTCCACAAGATATTTACGACACGATCGATGTCNATCGAAATAATTTTTACGCTTGAGGACGCCGGGCATTAACAAAGTTTTTTTTGGTCAGTTTTTTTCCCCTGCTTTTTTCAGTGCAATTCTTGACTAGTCACCACGATACCGCAAAGGATACTTGATGCATGATTTCATTTCTAGAAGGATGCTCGCATTACTTATCCGCAGGAAATTCAGCTATCAAATGAATATAGGAATGTTTTAAAATTTTTATTGTTTTATTTGTTTTCCTGATTTTTATATTTCATGACATTTATGCCTGAAAATTGACCTGTAAGAATTGCCCCCTTACACAAAGCCAAGGTGCAAGGCTGGCGAGGAAGGGAAGGCGAGAGTTTCATCGCCCTTTCCTTCCCATGGTGCCTCGTGCTTTGCTGGGTTCCAGTACCGTGCATTATGTCGCGCTGCGCTTGCAAGAGCTTTTTTACAAAGAGGTAAGAGCTTGCGCCTTTGTTTTCGATCTCAACGCGTCCGTGCCTTTCGTTTGTTCATTATGAAAAATGAAACTTGGACGGTTTCTAAGGCTACAAGAATCGGAACTTGCTCATCGATAGGCGTTTTATTTCTCGTGGCATCAGTTCTTACAGTGACAACAAACGGCCCTTTGTTGTTCGTGATATTCAAGGATCCACTGAAATGCTTCAGACGACCGTTCGCTGTGTTAATTGCTGGGTTAGCGGTCACTAATTTCCTTTTCGGTGCAGTTGTTGACACCACCGCCGCAAAGAATGAATACCACTGCGTTCAAGACACCGATGGAAAAACCAAATTTGACTCTGTAGCGGATTATTTCATCGATAACTCAGCAACTTTACTAGTTTTTGCTCTGTCAGTTGATAGGCTCCTCGCTGTTGTTTTTCCATTTTTTTACCGCTACTCCGTGAAGTCAATCCACGCGTGCATAGCGGCTGTTGCCATTTGGAGTTTCTCGCTTGCGTTCAGTTTAATTCAGCTAACAGAATTTCCACAAGATATTTACGACACGATCGATGTCCATCTCCATGTGACATTTGTACTAACAGCAACCACAATCATTTACTGCGTCATTCATTGGACCATTCGCAAGAGAAGAGTATTTTTCCCTATCGCTTCAAGGGATTCATGTCGCAACTCGGAACAAAGCTGGAGAAATTTCAAACGCGAGAGAGAATTCGCGTTGACCGCTTTTCTGATACTTCTTGCTTTGGTTATCACGCAGATTCCTTACCTTGTGATGATAATAGTTAAAGCAAACTGTGAAAGTTGTCTCGAAACAACTTGGTACTTCGTGGGTTTTAAGGTCTCCAACTTCCTTTTATGCGGAAGTGTTATTGCAAACCCTTTTTTGTACGCCTGGAGAGTAAAGATGTTTCGAAACTCTTTCATGATCGTCTTCTGCAAATCTCGAATCCGTCACAAAGCACAGGAGATTTCCTTGAGACAACTTGAAGGAAGAAAATCAACAAATTATCGCAAAGAGTTAAGTTTTATGCATATATAAGAACTATGTAGAACGACTTATAATCTGTTCAATCGATAAAAAAAAAATCTTCAACGATCATATCGATTACAACCTACGATCACTGTGAGATCGACCCACTTAATTTGAGGCCAGTTTCCATATCATTCATTTTTAGTAACCTTAAAGTTAACGGATCATGTGGTAAGCAATGCAAATCATGTACGCGGTAATCTCCGGACGCTCTTGGGAGTAAAACTTTACCAACTTGATTAATTCACTGTCCCATACATATGCTATGCATGCAAACGCTTTTTGCCTTCAACAACGCATTTCAAGTTTTCTGTTTGTTTCAGTAAAAGAGATAGACATTAACTTAATGAGATCCGCAAATATTTTATTAATTATAACACAATCTGACCAGCACTGTACTCACTTTCGCTTTTTGTTTATGAGTATTACTTGACTGTATAAATAATGCGTGGCGCTGTGCGGAAATTGTAACCCTCACTTTTCAAACAAACAAAGAAGTTTGTTTCTCTTTAATATGACTGAGCAAATTCAGTATTTTTTGAGAGACAAAATTTGTCTAATGGCTTTGGTATCGTTCAATAGCTACCTCAAATTGGATTTCAAAAACTGCATCCTTTGTTGACTTCATTCTATTATTAAATATTAATGAACAATACATAAGGTCAATTTCCTTCTTCTCGTTTCTTTCTTTTCGTAATTGTTTATGAATTGTTTATGCGCACTCTAACCACTAGGCACGCGATAGGGCCATTTATACGATGAAAATAAGACGCGAACTTTCCGTGTAAACGGCACATTTCGTCAAAAATAAGACGCGACTTAACTACGACGCGTCTTATTTTAGAAAAGCCCTTAACATCTATTCTTAGATAAGACGCGTCTTAGCTAACACGAGAAAAACTTCGTAGAAATGACCTTCGCGTCTTATAAGAGACGCGGAAAATTTTTCGCTTGCCTCGCGGCGGACTGGCAGGCTACTGGCACGGAAGTTGTTAACCATTTACAACGCGTTTTCGTTTCCTTGGGTTGTCATCTATTCCAAAACTTTTAAGCTTTATTTGTTTCTTCGCTCAAGTGTAATAAGCACGCCGACAAAGGTAAAACGAGACACGTGATCCACCGCTGAAGAAAAAGAGAAGACTCCCCCATTTTCATAAAAAAAGGTCTTCAAAATATCGCCTCTGCGGCAAATCGCAACATGACGCCGTAACTTTGAAAGGCGCGCCGTGTTGGATTGCCGTTGCTACGGGCAACATTCACATGAAAACGAGTCAAGAACAGAAATAAGAAGCGAACCATTTATACGAGCTGTTTTCGTCTTAGATAAGACATGCTCGTATAATTTTGCTCGTATGATGGTACAGTTCGCGTCTTATTTAGGACACGTCTTATTTTTTCCTCGTATAAATGGCCGTAATGCCTGGTTTCGATACAATCACTGTTACGGCTGAAAAAATTGCCAACAGCACCTGCATCTACTGCGAACGTATTAGTTTGAAAAGGAAAAGTAAAACCATTTATCGATCATCTTTTTATTTTACAATCAAGCGTTAACATATTCATGAAAATTTCTTGCTATTATATATAAATTCAACACATACACAAGCTGTGTATCTACTAAAAAATGTAACATCTAACCATTTTCAATTATTTAATTATGATTTCAGTTATTGGAAAAAAAAATGTACTTTTTTAAAATTTATTTACAAGGTTACCTTTGAGATTAAAATGTCTCTTTAATGAACGTTTCTTAAATTTAAGTTTGCATACTTTGTGCCACTGAATTATGATTCACTTGTTTGTCTTTCTTAAGTTATCAAGTAGTTTATAACAATTGCTGATAAAACTCCTGAATCATTAACTCTCAAGCGAACGTTAATGCTAATAGTTTCCCTCGTAGCCTTTTTTGTCTCGTCGCGCAAAGGTCCTCCGACTCTGAGAATGCTAAGTGTTAATAAAAAAATCGTTTCCTCAGACACTGGATCAAAGTTTTTGCTTTACCAAACAATAATTTTCATTTACTGGATACGTTAAATGTTTTCTTTAATACTGTTCAATCGGGGACGGACTCGAAAGGACCCATTTGTCCATGGCCGGTTGGATAGCTCGACATTTCCACCCGATAAATCACTATCCAGTCGATGACTAGTAGAAGAAAGAAGAACAGTGTTTTACCCAGGGGATAGACTACATACATTTTGAACAACTGGAGTTTGATTTTGTTTATCCACCTTTCTGACAGGAAACGCTAAATGTGATCATTTAAATGAAAAGTATATAAGCGTTGTTATTGTTTTTTTTTTCCTGAGGGTTCTATTTGATTTCTGTAGTTTGATGTGCTACGGCTAACTTGTTGGGAAGATGAATTTTTTATTCTATACCCCACATCACCCATCCGGCTCCCTAACACTCTGCGATTTAGGCTTCAACCTCTGTAAGCCCTTTAAAAACCGGTTATGAAGTTGTACAAGCTCCGCGCTTACAATCCGCAGTTTACGGTCTCATGCAGTCTACTTTTGTTTATTTTTGTTTGTTTATGTTTACTGGCAAGTGCTCTTTAGGCTAGCTTCCTTACATTCTCCATAAGACATTCTATGAACAGGCGAAGGCAAATCGCTAACAAGTTGGTTTCTTATCACATCGGCGATGGAAGAGTAAGGCAGCACTTTGGAAAAGAACAAGAATTCCAAGTCCTTTGCGTTAACCGCGCGAAGTCCCATCAACTTGAGAAGAATTTTGCCGAAGCGAAACGTTTCGTCGGGAAAACGGGTTTTGCAGTAACGTTCCATAGCGGATAAAACGACTTCCTGGCTTGTTTCTGCATCTGGCAAGCAGCCGGCTTCTACGCTGTCTATGGACAAAAAGAACCAGGTAGAGTTAGTATGGCGTCCATTCTTCAACTCTCAGATCACACCTTTTCCTAATTTTTGCGGAGGGTTTTAGTGAAACACAGTGATATTTGGCATCTCGTCGAAAGCGAGGGATTATGGAACTCGAAACAGGTACGTATAGATACGTTAAAATTTCGATTCGTTTCTGGGAAACTGCCCACCTACCCCTCCCGTGAGCCAACATTTTGCCCTAAGTGAGAAGTAAGTGTTAATGTTGGCTTAGGGGAGGGGGTAGATGGGTGGGCAGTTTCCCAGAAACGTGTAATGATCCAAAATTTCCGAGGGCCATAAGTATATATTATATTTGTTCGAGGTTGCAGCTCAAACAGCAAAGAGAGAAGACAAGAAAAGGAAAGGAAAAGGCCTAGAATATAAATTTCAGAAACTTTCGTTTCAGGTTGATTTGGCTAACACTCCTCACCTGAAGAAAACAAAACCATGACTCTAAGACATGCGTACTCAGCTTCCTCCAAACCACGCAGGCGCAGCAGACATTCATGGAAATTGGCCAGCGTCTGCTTGAGTCGTAGTTTGCGCTCGTTACACATTCCCGTGCAACTGTCAATCTCGTAGGCTAACGCTACGGAATCGATTTGCAAATCATACTGGGCTGCGATTAAAATGAACAGGTCGCTCCAACAACAGCGTAACATGCTGTATTGTTCGCAGATATCAAGATTAGCAAACATCGGCACGTGCTGAACCCATTTTAACGCCGCAGTGAAGAGTGTCCACACCTTGTGACTTGGACTGGACTTTATGTTAGGGGAGTTAGGAGCAGCAGTTATTGCAGCTCTGGTGCTTCGTTCCAGCTGCGTCAGCAGTGTTATCAAGTCATATTGCGAGGTGAACGACTTGGACGACCTCGATAGGTAGGAGTATTTTGTGGGTCTCCCTCTTCTGATGGCTGAAATAAATAAGAATATTGAGCATAAAACATAAATGAAGCCATGAATAGTAAAAAGAAATACTGAGCTAAAACATTAGCGACAGCCTATAGCTGTAAGATGCGAGGACGGCGACGGCAGGGAAACTGTCGCTTAAAAAGTGAGTTCGCAGTGTCTCAATCTTCACCGTGGTTATTCCAACTAGCTTGTCAAATGTATACGAAATCTCCTAGAGTTGAATCCCTAAGAACCTCATCCAAGTTCAGAAAGAGAAAGAAAATTCCTTTGTTGCTTGTTTACGTTCTCCGTTAAACATAGAATTTGACAGTTTCACGTCGCAGTCTTGAAAAAACGGCAAAGAAATGTACAAAAAAAGTGTGCTGCACAAGCAAAGTTGTCATTTCGGTTATTAAACCTATTGCTTTTTTAACGTTCTCATTGCCGTCGCCGTCGGCGATCTTAAAATCCCCATTTACTGGGAGTGTAAGAGTGTAAGAGTGCAAGACACTCGCTTGTAATTCCTGATCGCTCCAACGCGTTTCCGCTGTTTTTTTTTCCACATTCTCATTCTTCAAGATGACAAACGGAAAAAGGCTTTGTCATTTGTTAGAACTCTTTTACCAAATTTTGGCTAACTAAGGCAATGCAGGGAAAAATATCGTAATGACATAAAATTGCGTGCCACCCTTTTGTTGCCTTGACATGCAAAAGAGAGTTGAAGAAAATGACGATAGATTTTTCATGCATCTGATTAAATCCTATTTCTAGAATTTCGCGTTTAAACTTTGTCAGTAAGGGTATATTTAAGGAAGATCACCACTGTATCTGAGTATAAAACTTTCGAACTAGGACGAGAAAGCCAAAAAACGGCACAATTTGCATTGGTTAGAGGGAGAGAAGAATTTTTTTAAAAGATGATATAAAATGATGAAAAACAACCAACAAAACTGAAGGTGCTACTGTTTCTGAGATACAATATAACGGTTTGTTACGATTACAAAAAAGAAAAGAAAAGAAAGAAAAACATTTAACGCACACAGTTACGGTCATTTTCACTAGTAAATAGTGGCAAAAGTGCACAGTCATGGTATAGAGTTGCAAAGCATACTTCGAACGCAGTTTTACCCAAATTTATATTTTTTAAAGTTATAGGTTGTCATAACACCGAATTGATGTCCACCCTTCCAGTGTCATTTATTTCTAAGATGACACATCTTTATACTATCTAACG